ATGGTCCCCAAAGACCAATGGCTCTGTGATGGCACTTGGTCCAAATGAAGAAGAGAGCAGAGATGGGACAGCAGGTTGCTGAACTTGGTGGTGAGTATCCTTTGTTCATGTTCCTTGCTCTACATGGTCATTCGGGAAAAGCTCCACATATCCCAGCAGTGTGAAGACGAACACGTACCAGGGTCCAGTGGGAGCTCACAGTCACTGAATCAATGATAGATTAGAAAAGACCACAAAGACCATCTAGCACTTTCTCCTTGTGGGAGCACATAAGATGGCTGAGGCCAGGACCCTTAGGGATGAAGGACAGCCATTGCCTGCAGCCCAGCAGCCGAGGCAGACAGCAGCCTGCCTGAGCAAGGCTGGGATTTCTCTCCCATGGGTGTGTGAGCTATAAAGAAGTGTGAAACCCTATCCCCAGGGAAACTATCTGTATCAAAGGGCTCGAGGGGGCTGCTTCAAAATAAGACCTTGGCACAAGTTTCTTCTTCTCCTCACATCTTACCAAGAGGCACAGTGCCAAAATGTCATCTTGTCTGCTCCACACATCCCAGGCACGTCCTACAAATCTTTCCAGTGCTCCCAGGGGATCGCTACCCCCACCAAGAGCCTCTCCCCACTTCTCTCAAGGGAGGGCCCCGAGCACCATCACTGAGGAGCGAGGTTCCCAAGGTGCTACATATAAGAGCTGTGGGTATGCTTGTAAAGGTCTTTAGAAGATAGCATTGGCCAAACCGTGGGCACAGACCTCCTTTTTATCTCCCTTGAGTGAGTACAAAGGAAATGAGGAGCACAAAACAAAGCTGGAAGGAATTAACCTGACTCTGTATCATTTGAAGGAGAGATTTCAGGTGAGGTGATCATGGCCATAGGGTTTGAATACTCACGACAAGCCAGAGTCAGACAAATCTGTGGCACTTTGGAAGCCATTCTATGCATACAATTCATGAAGGTCATCCAAATGCCACAGTAGAATCCTAGAGGGACCAGACCAAGTCCAAAGGTGGTGCCAGTATCTCAAGTAGGTCAATCTAAGCTGTCTCATATAGGAAAAAGAATTACAAAGACCATACCCTGAGTCATTGCAACCATTTGTTCCCACCCCACTGGAGCTTTTCCTCCTTGTTTTTGCCCTGCCATCCCACTGCACTTGCAAAATCTCAGCCCAGAGAGGGAGCCCACATAAGCCAAAGCCATTCCAGATTGCCTCAGTGTTGGCAGGACATTCAGCCACAAATCGCCCTTCTCCATGGCTCTCCCAAGTGGCTGCAGCACATCCCAGCAGAGCTCTGCTGAGGGCACTGCTGAATTCCTGCTCTTTCCTGCATACGGCTTTCATTACAGCCCTGTTCTTCTGGCAAGGGCTCTGTGCACAGTCACGAGAAGCTGCTTGCTGGTGGCTTGTTTTATCCAGTTGATGGAGGCTGGAAACAATGAGCTTGCAAATATTGCATTCCTCTCCTTCTGTTTTTCTTTCTTACAGAATGAAGGGGGGAATAAAGAGTGGGTAGTACTGGAACACAGACTTAACAGAGACGGGAAAAAAGAGACTAGAGGGGCATTTCTGCTCTGTACTGAATATAGATGCATGCAAGCATACCTGTGCGTGCTTTGCACATCCCTCTCCAGGGACCATCCAGGCTGTCTGGCACTGTTACAAGCTCCATACTTAACTACAAACTCCCCGACTTGGAGCAAAACTCAGAGGAGAACCCCAACCACCAGGAACAGAAAACTGCCACCACAGTCACACAGCTGTCCCAGTATGATTAGGACAGATGCACCCCTCTGTCCCTTAAGCCTGACTGGCAGAAATATGGAAGAAGGGAGTCCCACATCCAAAAGGATGAGCCCAGTTTTGGAGATAAAAAACTATCTTACTTACCATCAGCTGAGAATTTTCTGCTGGATCCAGCTGCCATCAGAGTAATGGAACGGTAGAAATGCAGGGTGAAAGCCAGGAGGGTGCACATCTCCCTAGGAGCAGGGGGCTGCAATGAGGAAGAGTTTAGTCCCTCTTGGTTATCCCACCACAAAGACACATCGGTGCATCCAACTGGAGTCCTTTGGCACTGCAGCTCAATACAGACAGGAGGTAGAGCATGAATGAGGTAGGAAATAAAAACACAGAAGAAGCATTGAAAGCTTTCCTTATCCTGGGCTAGGGCAGAGGGACTGAGAACAAGGGGCTACCTATACCTTTACTAAATACTGCTTTTATTAAGCTAAGTGGACCAAGCTGGACTTGTTAACACTTCACGCCCACCTACAATTGCTGGCAGGTGGAAGGATGAGGTTGAGCCTCTTCTAACTAGGGAGAATAGAGGTGCCTCGTAGGGCTTTATCACACCTGAGCATGTGAATTAGGCTGCCTTGATGAGACTTTGACCCGATATTACTTTGATCACCTGCCACAGGCTGCAACCCCTGGGGGATCCTCTAGGCTTCAACCCTTGAGCCCAGGACTTCACGTTTGCAATAAACCACAGTCCTCCGTTGAGAGCATCTGTCCTGTGGGAGCTGAGGCTGTTTAGCGGGGGTACCCTGCCCACGGGTGAGCTTTGGCAGAGGCTGGAGCACCCTGCAACCAGCTCCAAGTTGCACCTCGGTCCTGCATGCTACGAGCCCCTTGATGCAGCAACATACAGACCTATCTGCACCTGAGCTCTTCCCACCAGTGCAGAACGGGAGCACGGTTCAGAGGAGGACAGCAGAAGAAAAGCTGCAGAAGCCGCGAGCAGGCAAGCAGACATCAGCTCCTGCAAGGCCCGTTTTGGGCATGCGTCAGCCCAAGGGCTCCATCCGCCTCTTGGAGGCACCTCCCTGTAGATGGAGCCCGAACCTCACAAGGCAGAGGACCGCGCGGCCCGATACCCACGCCCGGCTCCCAGGGACCTCCCACAGCCGCCCTGCTTCGACGGGACCTGGCGCAGCCCGTCTTTTCCCTTTCCTCGGTCACCCCCGGGGTTCCAGCTCCACTCCCTCTCCAGGTGAACGATCGCAGAAGTCCATACGATCCCTCTTTCTTTAGTATTTAACCCTGATCCTTTTCGTTGCCATTTTCTGTCCACTGTGGCCATGGAGAATGGGTAACTGCTGCACCACAGATCATGTCTATGCCCACCTCCAAGCAGTGACACTTCCCCAAGATGATGATTATAGCCCTAGAGCCGTTTCAGTGATGTTTTTTTTCTCACCAGCAGCTCTATAACAGGCTTAGAATCATAGAACCATACAATCACTTGGGTTGGAAGGGGCTCTTAAAGGCCATCTAGCCCAACCCCCCCGCAGAGAACCTACAGCTTGATCAGGTGCTCAGTGCCCTTCCAGCCTTGAGTGTCTCCAGGGGCAGAGCTTTGTCTGCTTGGGTTTGGCATTGTCCACCTGGGTGAACCTTGGTGCTGTATGTGTTGCCTATGTGGGATACTTTGCACCCATTCCACCCTGGAGATGCCAGCTGGCTCTCGGCCCATAAATGATGCCCGTGAAAGGCTGGGCTGGGTCACATCTTCTGTCCCCATGGGAACACCACTGAGAGGTCCCAGCACTTCGAGCAAGTCTGGGAGAGGGTAAATGAGAAAGAAGAGGAAACACCTGGTTTTACCCCAGTGTGCTCATCCCTGCCTTCTGCAGGTGGGCGGTAGAGGGGTAAGAACCCCCCCAAGAAACTCTCCTGGGTGGCCCCAAGACAACTGAGCAGGAGCTAAGATGAGGGGAAAAAACATCTCAGCTTTAGGAACCTGAAGGAAGGGGCCTGGTGGGCAGGGGGGAGGCAGCAGAGGCTCCCAGCGTGGATCTGGTGGTGCCTGGTGATGGTGACACCAGGGTCACCAGCCTGGCCTGGGGACAGTGGCAACCTGCAGAGAAGGAGCCCCAAAACACCAGCACTGTGCAGCCCAGCAAGAGAGCGCGGGCAGCAGATAAGAACATGTTGAGGAAAAACACAAACCAGAAGCTCCCGAGGAATTTTGGAAAGGAAATGGGGAATTAACTGCAGAAAAAAAAAAAAAGAAAGAAAGAAAGAAAAAAAAAGGAAAAAAAAAAAAGCAGAGAGGGAGCAGGAAGGCATGGCGTTTGCTGGCTCACAGCAAGCCACTCTCATCCCCTGGTGCACAACACACCCGGCTGCATCCCTACTGCTGGTTTTGGGGTGCCCATAACCTTTTATTCTCCTATACTTGTTTTACCCCTCCACCTCCGCACAGGCCCCTCAGCACGGGGTCCTCTGAGCAGCCCCCTCCATCCGCTCCTCGCCCCACAGCTATTTCGGAGGAAGGCAGGAGGTATTTTTAGTGCTGCCGGCTCCCAGGAGAAGCTCAGAGCCTGTGAGCCGCAGCAGTGCTGGCGCCAGAGAAACTGCTGCTGCTCTGGCTGATATTTCTTGTCTAATTAAACTCAATCCATCCCGGGGGCCGGGGCTTGGCCACCAACTCAGCAAGGAAGGGAAGGAGCAGAGCAGAGAGCTGGGGGCTCTGATTGATTCTGGGAATCACTCTGTGAGCCCAGGGAAAGACAGGGATGTGACTTGGGGAGGGGGGACTGCTTTGTTTTTCCAGGAGTGGGGGAGCAGGACTGTCCCTAAAGGGGTAGTGAATGGAGTTTGAGAAGTGCAGAGCTCAGCCCTAATGGTGACATTGGGTTAGAGGGAACATTGTTCATCACCCCCCTCTGTGCCAGGGATAACAGGATGCAATGAGTCCCCACTGCTCAAAGGGAGCCCCAGCAAAGAGGGACCCCCCTTGTCAAAGCCAGAACAGAGCTGGAGCCACACAGCAGTCCCAACATTCCCCAGTTAACCCACATCTGGTGAGCAGCACTGTAGTTAACACCTCCCCCAACCCAACTTTGAGGACTGGGGGGGCACAGCTGCAGAAAACACAGCACCGCTGTGGTGGTGGTGGTTGTTGGGCTTCCCCCCCCCCCATACAAAAAGAATAGAGCATTTATTCCCGTGCTCCCTTAGAATGTGAGATACATTCCCAGCGACCCGGACACCAAACTGGCATTCCAAGCAACAGTATATTTTATATAACTGATTTTTTGTTTTTACCACTTTATAAAGCCATACAATGAACTGCGGAGAATCAGACGTCTGTACAAAGGGGAAGACGAAAGCAGAGTCACATTCACACATGGACACGGTGCGACCAAAGTCATCTTTACACGCGCGACGACACCATGGGCACAAAGATACAAAATATAACATATTTCTTTTCCATCTATATAAATACACAGAAAGGGGCAAGTCTGAAAGTCTTAAACTGTTCATTAACACTGATTAGCAAATAAATCTGTAACATTCCCAAAGTAACAAAGACAACAGGAAAAAGAAAAAACCACGCAAAACACGGCGGTGTTGGATCCGCCAACAGAAATGGTGGGTTGCTTCCTTTTTTTTTTTTTTTTCTCCTTTTTAAGGAAAAGAAAAAAAAAAAATAGTAACCCCAACCCAACCTCGCAATTTGCAAAACAAACGAACGGAATCAAACAAGCCCCTGCGGGCTCTTTTGCTGTCTGATCTCCCTGCCTGCTCCAACGGGAAGGGTTCCATTTGCCGATGATGCCGTCTGGGTTTTTGGGGCGGCCGGCTCCGTACCTGCCCAACCTGCTGGGCAGGGTGTGCTCCAGTTTGGCTGCTTCACTGCTAAAAAATCAACGCCCAGAGGCTATGGCCACATCCAGGTGTTTCCTGGAGGCTGGGACAAAGCCTGGCTCTGCCTGTGGGACCCCTTCCCACAGCATCAATCTGCAGGAGGGGCTGGAACTAGGTTTTCTCCCCACCAGACCCTTCCAACTCCAACAATTCCACAACTCTATGATATTCCAAGCTTGGTTTGATCAGCACATGTTTCATCCAGAACAACCAAAACCTGACTTCATTTGGTTGGTTATATCCAATGGGAATGAACCACTTATTGCACAAAGGGTGCATCCCTCCAGCAGACAGCGACACAGCCAAACTCCCAGATAATTACCGGGTCGGATGGGAAACCCCCAGGAGCCTTCTTGTAAGGCAGCAACACTGACAACAAAGGGAGGAGGAGTGGGAACAGGAAGGTTCTCCAAAGAACAAATCAACACAAAAAGGTGACGTACGACAAATGTACACACACACACACACACAAATTATATATATATATATATATAATGTGGGGAAAAGTGCGTTTTTAAGGATATCTTTGGCAAGAATATATGCAGTTCTTTGTGCAGGAAGGAGGGATGTGTTGGTGTGTGTGAGAGAGAGAGAACGCCTGGTGGTGTGGTTACAATAGGACACGAGCAGGGTGAACGCGCACAAGCTGGGCTCTCTGATACCGCGACTGCATGGCAAAGCCAAAGAAAAACCAAAGGATCTCATCCGTCCCTTTTGTAAAGAAAAACATTGACACAGTGCTGGGTCCCCGACAGCCCAACTGGTGGGGAGTTACAGCCAAAAAAATGTAACTTTTAAAAGGAGATAAAGAAGGAAAGTGCCTTAAAGGGAGCTGACAAATGCCTGCTGACATCATTGGAAGCTCTATGTTAAAAACTACACAATGGTTAATGTTTGCCATTCAGACACAGGCTATGTCTCCAGCTTGAGCATCAATGTGGAGCCTTGAAGCAGGCGTGCTGCTGCCAGCACCTCTGGGTGCTCCAATCTGCTTCGCCCTATGGGACAGGAAGGTGAAGGGGAGGCTCAAGCACTGAGGCAGCAGATTAAAATAAAATTACATTATTATCATCTCTTTTCTTTCTTAGCAGTGAGAAAACCAAGTCTGAAAAATAGAGACTTTCAAAAAAATATATATTTATATATCTATAAACACAGTGTTTCCTCTAATCGGTTACCGGCAGGGTGAGGAGATGACAGGTGAGATCATCTCTCATCTCACTTGAATTTTGCAGAAGGAGGGAATCGCTTTAGAAACATCATTAAAAAAAAAGATAAAATATGAAAAGGTCTTCGCATCCATGCGGATAGGGGGAACCAGGAGGGGGGGGAAGGCCCCGTCCTCCATGCATCCCACCGCAGTCTCGCACCCAAATCCCCACTACGCATCCATCACCTGCCATACACCAACCAGCCTCCGGCCACGCCGGCCCCTCCGCGCCCACGCCGTCGCTCTCTCGCGCACACACACGCACACGGTCACACGCATGTCCCCCACGTGGCACCCGCACGCCCTATCGGCGCTTCCCTTGCACCCAATTCACTTCTGACGTGCAGGTGTTTGCCCCCAGGGCGGGGGGGAAGGCAGATAGAACAAGGGGGAGAATCGATGCGCAGAAAGCAAAATATGGCAAAAAAAAATAATAATAAATATTTTCAGAGTGTCAATTTAACCTTTTTTTCCTCCTTTAAATTTTGTTAGCTTACAGTATTTCGTCAGTATAGCTCCTATATATATTATAGCTATCAAGGCAAGGGTGGTCCGAGGGAGGTGAGTTCTCTGGGGGGCTGCAGCAGTAGGAGTCTAATTGTTTGCCCCCAGCAGGCTATCTGGGCCACTCTGCACCGAAACTTCTCCAAACATAAAAACCACAAAAAAACAACCTCTGGACTCCTGTGCTTGCAGCACAGTGCTCAGCTCTGCCCCAAACCTGCACACTGCTCCCCACCAACCACCACTAGAGCCATATCTGGGGCTGGAACCTCTGCTCCCCAACACCACAATGCTCAGCCATAAGGGCACAGGGCCCCCAGCCCCTGCACATCCCCATGCACAGGGAAAAGCCTGCAGTGCATTCAGGGTGCACACCTTCAACCATGGGGAAGGCAGAGGGTGGCTCTCAGAGGACCTGTGGCCTCCCCACCGAGCCAAAGCTGTCCAGCAACTGCTGATCCTTTGTTGTTGCTGTTGTTTTCTAAATATTTTTTCTTCCTTCTCTCTCTTTTTTTTTTTTTTTTTTAACGTGGCCTCCAAAAATAAAAACAAGAGAAAGCGCCTGAGTTACTTGTAGTTATTCGCCTTTCGTGCAACTTGAATGTCCATGCAATTTAAAAACTGCTTGCACATCTCCAAGGAGAGAGATAGGGCCGGCCACGGGTCCACTGCTCCACACAGGAAACCCACCTGTGCAAGCATCTGCTATTATTATTATTATTATTATTATAACATTTTTCTCTTTTTTTTGTTTTTCTTTTCTGTTAAGAGAACGTGTGACAGGCCACAGGAGAAAACTGTTAAAGAGGATTGGTGACAGGAGGTAAAAGGGGAAGATGAGCGAGGAGGTGCCTTCCTTCCTCCACCAGACCAGGAGTATCCTCCTCTTCCAGGCATGGAGCGCAGGAGCTGCCCAGGAGTGGAGGAGATGCTGCATTGCCCCTCTGTGGGTGGACTTGTGATGCATCACCTGTGCTGGGCTCTGGGCCAGCAGCTGAGGGTAGCCCAAAGCCAAGCACCCAGGGGACAAGAGGGTTTGGGACCAAGCCGTTGCACACCCCAGCAGGGTGGCCAGCAGGTTTCGGTGTAAGCTGGCAGAACCCTCTGCTGCAGCACGGCAAGGGGAGGTTTCCAAAGGCATCTCCTTCAGTGTCCTGCAGACCTGGGCCCACACGGCAGCAGGGCGTTATTCTCTGTAGGCTGTGTCAAACATGCAGCAGATGTTCACCGATGAAGGCTTCTTCCATAGCTTTTGCTGTTTTGTCTCTCTTTTTTTTTTCCCCTCCAAATGACGACCACACATTGGATCTGGAGCAAACATCACCACTTGGTGTGGCCTCAGGACTGCAATGTCGAAAGCTGGGAACTCCTCTCGCTGCCACCTTCACTTTGGTCACCTTCCCTGCAGTGGGACATGCATCCGCATCCTCTCCCTGTTTGGTGTTGACTTCATGGCTCTGTTACATAGGTGTGTGGTTTGATTCTTCTATGTGTGTGTTTAGCTTCTGTCGAGTTTTTAGGGTTTTGTTTTGGGTTTTTTTTTGTCATCGTTTGCTGTTTTCCTCCACAATTCCAACCCTTACCCTCCCCCCCCAATTCACTTCCCTCTCCCACAAATGCACTTCCTCACACTCCTTCTCGGATCAGCTCCAAGTCCTTCTCCAAAATTCAAGAATCACCCGCAAGCACCAGCTCATCTTTTCTGGCCAGAGCCAAGCATGACCCTGGAGACAAAGTTGACAATGGCTGCAGCTGGCTGGTCCGGGTCCAGCTCTGCAAAGAGGTGGCAGACGTTGTCTGTGGTGCTCCCTTGCTTCCTGGCCACGAAGCCGAAGAGCCTGGGTGGGGAGAAGACAAGAGGCTCAGTGAGGTTTGCCAGCACTGCTCACTCAAGGAACACAACCCTCTTCCAGTATGGCCATGTCAACCCTCTGCTCTTCAACATTCATCTTGCATGGCCCACAAGGAAATATTCTATACTCCAAAGAGCCCACACAAAGACCAGCCTAATCCTCCTCTTGCTGCTGGTTCTTTGAAGACCAACACTGTTGGTCAAATCCTCTTTGCTCTGACCATCCTTGCCACTCACCCCACGACTGTCCCCAAACAAGGACCTTGAGACACGTGAGGGATCCCATAACACTGGAAAGGGCACACGGGGACACCGAGAGTGCAGACCCACACACTGCTGCCCACAGAGCTGGATGAGACCATGTGCTTATTTCTGTCTGTCTCTCCCTCAATAAATGAAATGTCTTTTTTTTTTTTTTTTTTTTTTTAATTAGAACGTGCAAACTGAAGTTATAAATATGGGGGAACAGAATGTGAGACAGGCCCAGGCTGTGGCATTTCTAATTGGAGAGAGGAAACATCCCAGCAGCTGGACATCCTAATAAAAACTCCTTCGCTAACACAATAGCTAAAATTAGTGGGAACTAACCCCTGGAACTGGGCTCAGTTCCTGGAGCAGTGCTCTCATGCTTGGGTGAAAAGTTCCCATAGCAAGGAGAAGAGCCCATCCTTCAGGCAACCAAGTCTACCATGTGGGGGCATCCCCCAGCCAGGGGCTCCTGGAGGTGATGCTCAAACCCAAGTGGGATCCACCCTGACAGCAACTGGGAGGGACTGAGCATACACTTACTTGGCTGGACCACTGCCATCAGTTTTAGTCCACCTGCAAGGAGAACAAGAGTTAGGGATGGTGCCTCCTGCACACTATGGGAGCAAGGGGGACAGATAAAAGCAAAGACCCTGCTCCAAGCAGCACAGTGGCCTGGGAGAGGGAAAAGGGCAAGGGAAAACATACTCCCCAAGGGTTAGGGCACTTACTTTCGTTCCTGGGGGTCCAAATCACAGAAGGTGACAGTATTGAGAGGATAGTGTCGCCGGAAGAACAATCTGAAACACAAGGCACAGAGCGTCATAGCCAGTTAGCCCCCACCTCTTCCCATCACAGCTCCCCTGGTTGTCCCCTAGGACACTCCACAAGCTAAGGCCGAGGTCTGTGACCAAGCTCACATCCCTGAGGGACATCCTTCATGTTCCCAGTGTAACACCCATGTCCCACACATGCCCAGACTTTGGGGACCCAAGGACGTGGTAGCAGGGGCTCTTACTTCCTCTGGTTGTCCGTTAAGGTAATGCCTTGTGCAGAGACTTTGAAGTGGACAATCGTAGCAGTTGGCGTGGGGTCGGCCACCAGCGTCTCTGCCACAGCCTTGGAGATGGCCTGGGGGCCTGTGAGCGATTCCATCTCCACTGAATTGATGAAGAGGACATTGCAGGCTGGAAGGGAAAAAGCAGGAGTGGGGTCAGCCACTGCTCTGGACCACAGCATCCCTGTAGCAGCCCCTCTCTACTCACCCGCACCCTGTTTGAGAAGATCTGTGGCTGAGTTGGTGGTCGACGCAGCATCTTTCTTTTCCTCCATGGGATCTAGAAGAGATGAGATATGGCTGCTGCCCCCTGCCTGGAAACCTACCAGGTACTGGGGGCAGATGCACTATCCCCTTTCCAAGTGCTGAGCACTGGATACCAGTACTGATGGGACACTGGGGATACAGGTGAAAGCCCAGCCTGGCTCTGAACCATCTGAGCACAAGGAATGAGCTGTGGCTCATAGTGCAGAACGTGTTCCTACAGTTGGTCCAGATGGAGAAACACAGCCCATATGTGGCTCCTGGCTGGAGGAGGAGTTCCTACCATGAAGAGCAGAGGGGCAGTGCCACCCCATGCTGCTGGCTCTGGTTCTTACCTCGGTCAGGAATGACCAGCTTGCAGGGAAGGGCCAGAGGCATGATGGAGTGCTGGTAGACAAGAGCCGACAAGCAGCCTGGGGAGAGAGGGAGAAGGTGAGCACAGGGCTGGGGACAAGCCTACCCAGCACAGGAGCTTGTCAAGGTGTTAGTGCTCTGGGTGGACAGAACCACGTGGCATTTCACCTCCCTGAAGCCACTATGCCCATGGGGGCTCATCTCTACCCTGCCCAGCAGCATCACTTGTCCTCCAGAAAGCTCAGGGGCAGCTCTTACAGATACCTGATTGCTCTGCTCAGACATTTCAGCAAAGGAAAGGCATCCCAACCACACCTGGGGTACTCACCAAAATTAGGCTCATTGGGGCATCCTTTTAGTTTCACACCCCGTGGGCTGGTCTCGATGAGGAAGTGCCTCACCAGCTCGTTGGTGATGTCTCCTGAGAAGAGACCAAATGTCACACCAGAGCTGTCCTCATCCTTCTCCTCCCTCCACCATCCCACTGCAATCCCATTGGCTCACCCACAGTCTCCCTCCTGGAACCAGATCCTCTGCACACCCCAAGCTGTGCTGCTGGTGGGCTGTGCCCATTTCACCATGCCAAAGCCCAGGGGAAGACATCCCCCAGCCCTCTATGTCTGGTATGCCCCCATGACCCGGGGGATGGCAGAGGCTGGCAGGGAGGGATGCTGCCACATCAGCGCATACCCAAGGGCAGTCTGGCTCAGTAGCCCTGGCTGCCCATTCAATAGAAACAACAGAAAGCATCTCAGCGTGGGAAGGAGGAGGACACACAATACCTTTCTTGTTCTGCTGCATGACGGTGGGAGGCGGAGAAGCTACTTTCATGGCAAGGCCATAGGCTCCCCGGAAGGAGTGGCTGTCCCGGATGATGAAAGCCCCTGGCTCCCTGTCCTTCAGCAGTGCAATGGCTGGGGAAGAGAAGGGGAGAGGTCAGACCTGGCGTGCTGAGAGGCAGCATGTCCTCCAACACCGGCCGGCAAACCCCAGCTCACTCCAAGTCCTTTGTCACATGTCACCTACAAACCTTGCTCCCGGGAGATGTCTGGCTTGTACCAGTACTTAGAAGTGTCCTGCACAAACTTCACGTTGGCACGAGTCTCAGGGCTGATGTCTGCAGGAAAGGAAGAAGAGAAGAAAAAAGTCAAAGGAGACTCTATTTAAAACTCTGTGTGAGATCTGGGCAACTCCCACCTTTTTGGGAGTATAGGTACCTTCACCTCCGCACGGCCCCAACATGTCACCTTAACCCCAACCTCATCTTCACTGGTAGCTCATGTCTCCCCTGGGCTCTTCTCAGAATGAATGCTAATGCATTGGCACAGGCTGCCCAAAGAGGGGGTGCAGTTACCATACCTGGAGGCATTCAAGAACCACAGAGACGTGGCACTGAGGACATGGTTAGTGGGCACGGTGGAGATGAGTTGATGGTTAGATTAAATGACTTGAGTAGTCTTTTCCAACTTTAATTATGCTATGACTCTATTTAAAGTTCAGTACGGGGCCTGGGAAGAGCCCTCTGTGATCTGTAGGAGATGCTCAAGTGCTTCCTATCGCGCTCACTGTTATGCCAACATGAAGAGGCCCCCCACTCCCTAGGGTGGCTCCTGGCCACTGCAGTCATGAGGCCACTGCAGGTGCCAGCGTGCCCACAAAGGGCCACCTGCTTGGCAGCCAAACCGAAGTGGCAGCTGGAGCCACTGCTGCCCCAGCACTTTATTTCCCTACTCCTATCAGCCCGATCTCGGCGTCATGGTGGCGGCTCGTAATGGGAGCAGGGGATGGTGATACGGGTGTGGCAGCACACAGGGCACAGCACCCCTTCGGAAACAAGGAGGGGGCCCGGAGCGTAGCACTGGGAGCTCCCTGGGGCGCAAACACCAGGAATGGGGCTGGGAGGTCAGCACGTCCCCACGGCAAAGAGAAGCCAAGCGGATGCGAGCTGCCTGCAGGCGCTTTGATCTTCCCCATATACAAATCCCCACGCTGTTTATACCAGCATGACAGCATGCTCCCAATGCCGAATCGGTATTTTTCCTGTTTGGATTCACCATTTTTGAGAAGCAAAAAAAAAAAAAAATAAAGCAGGAAACAGTCCAAGCCTCAGCGGTGCTGCGATTTTGCAGCTGGGCAGAAGTACATCAGGACATAAACCCGCGGGATAGTGATGAGAAGGGGACATGGGACAGCAGGCAGCTGCAGAGGGATGGTGGTGACGGCATCCCTTACCTGGCATGGAAAACTTGGAGAAATCCGGCAGGGTGTGGGAGAAAGCCACAGCGCTGCCGCTGCTGGGGCTGGACATGCCGCTGGAAAGGGGCGAGGAGGCCTTGCCGTTGACCGTGGCGTAGTTGGGCAGGCTGTTGGAGCGCTCGCCGGCTGACATCCGCCTCTTCTCAGGCAGTGCAGGCTGTGGAGTAGGGCTGCCCTGGCGGTAGGCGGCGGAGTCCGGGGAGGAGGAGTGCGGCGTGCTGGTGCCAGGATAGTACGCCGGTGAGACGGGGAAAGATGGTGTGGAGGGAGGCTGGTAGCCGGACGCACTGCTCTGCCGGGACAGCGTCGGGCGCCTCTCCTCTGGACTGGAGTAGCCGTACATGGGGCTGCCAGGAGGCACGGCTGCCATCTGATGCCGGGCAAGGCTGGGGCTCCCCGGTGGCGCATGGGGGGACATGGCGTGCCGGCCCAACCCAGGGCTGCCGGGCGTGCTGGCAACAGCAGGGTTGGCAGCTCTTCGCCCAAAGCCAGGGCTGGGCGGCGTGTTGGTAGCCACTGTCCTGTGCAGGGTGCGGGGGCTCCCTGGCAGCGCATGAACACCCACCACACTGACCTGCGGCTGCTGCCGAACCTGGGGATCTGGCTGGAAGCCAGCTCGGCCATCAGGGTAGTCAGGGCTGGCATAGGGAGAGCCCAGTGTTCCCGCTTGGAAGGATGATGGAGACGAGGTTTGGTAGCTGCTGTGAGCAGAGGGCGTCTGCGAGACAATGGGTGACCGGTAAGCTGGCTCAGCCACAGCGTGGGGAGGTGTAACCGTGCCGTGGGGGCTGCCCTCCGATGGGTAGCTGCGGAGCGAGGCACTGAGGAGAGATCGGAAGAAGAGGATTCAGCTCCACTGCACTCCCGCTGCTGGTTGGGCCCCTCCTCCAAGCAGGCACAGGAAAACTGAGGCATGGCACCAGCAAGCTGCTCGATAGCAGCGGTGGGATGAGCCCTGCCAGCTACAGGAAGCAACTGGAGGCAGCTTCACAGTTCCCACATGCATCAATTCTCCACCAAAATATGGGAGAGAGAGCCTTTTCCCAGTTCCTCTCCCAGCAAAACACCTGGTTCTTTCATCTCCACAGGGCAGAATGGAAGGGACAGGGATGGATGGCACCAACTCACTACAAGGGAGCAAAGCTCCCAGGGTTAGGGGGTTAGCATAGACCCTATGCCTCCTGTGGACCTACACTCCCATACTCACCCGTCCATGCTGTGGATGGGGCTGCTAGTAGAGATGGGGCTGGGCACAGTGAAGGAGTTGCCAAAGGCACCGTTCCTGGCAGGCACCTCCAGGCCCACAGGTTGGGCAGTTGGAAGGTTCCCTGCCCTGCCCGTTGTGGCCGTTCTGGCCACTGACTCAACATAGCTCCTGGGCTCTGCAGAGAAAGAAAAGAGGAAAGAGATGAGCTGGCATGGAAATGGAGCCATGCCCTTTCCTGTATCCCCATTTGAGCCAGAGGAGATGCCTGAATTGAGCTCCTCCACCCCCCATGGACTGTGCAAAAACATGGGGCTCATCTGTGCCTTAGCATTCCTCCACGTCACACTGAAGACCCTAGGCACAGAGATGAGAGGGTCATGCCCAGTCCCATCCCCAAGGGGACGCAATACACAGAGCCACGTGGTGCGACCCATCATCGCTCAGTCCCATGCCACAGCCCCTCCACCAGGAATCAGCGTCCCTCCCAGGCTGGGATGCCACAGGGCACACGTCGTGCTCCATGATCATCCTCAGCCCCTAAAAATAGAGCCAACAGCACAGCACGGCACAGCCCACACTGACTCACAGTGGGACCAGGGTGCTGCCCTGCACAGCCCACCTCCCCCAGCACCTCCAGCATCTGGGAACAGAGAGCAGCCTCATCTATTTCCACTAAAGCATCCAACATTTTCCCCTATCCTTGCTTGAAACTGGAGCCTGTGAGCACTCCCAATAAAAGCAGTTTTCCTTTGGAGACACTGAGCTGTCCCGTGCCAGGAACTCTGGGCTGGGCATCCTTGCATGTCCCCAGCTCCAGGCCAGCTCCAGGCTGGCCGTGCCCAAGGGGACTCTGCAGCACTAATTAGCATTACAAACATTATTATTATTAGTCATAACAGCCAGGCTCTGTCTAATCCCATAGGCAAGAGAGCCAGTGAGGCCAATGCACAGCTCTGTGCTCAGGACTGCGAGGAAAAAGACGGTCATAGGTTCCCCGATCCACTCTATGTCCCCATGCCAGTGTCCCATCTGCCCGCAGGAGGAATCGATGCTGCAGGGCTCATCTCCCTGCCCAGCCCAGGAAAGAGCCAAAATCAGACTGAAGACGTCAGCTTGGGCTGAGCACCCGGCAGGACACACAGTCAGAGTGACAGGGACAAGGCAGTGCCCAAGGAAACAGCCAGGGCAGCTGCAAGAAACACAGCGCTGCTTGGGTAATTAAATTAATTTTGCAGCTACTCACATCTCCCACCCGTCTCCCCACCCCAGCCTAAAATTAGCCAGACAGTACATATGAGTCAGCCTGCAAGAGGTTAAGAGCAAACGGCTGTGAAAATACCAATCCCTCGTGTAAACGTGGAGGCTGCAGGGAGGCAGGAACAGGGCTCGGGGACAAGGGCAGCAGAGAGGAGAGCCCACGTGTGTGCACGTATACGTGCCATGGTGACATGTGACACTGCAGACACATGTTGGAGTTGTTTGGTTCAGTATTGAAAAAGAGGGGGGTGGGGGAAGGAAAAAGAGAAGTTTGGGGCAGGATTTTTTTTTCCTACGCTGAAAACTTAGCTCTTGCTTCCTGGTGCTTTCTCGGAAGAGGCTGCAGAGATGGGAAGACAGCAGGGGAAGAGAGAAGCCATGTGTCATCCAGGGGGTGAATAGTGATTTGGGAATCCCAATCAGGGCTGTGAAACACCCAACCTTGTGCCCAAAGCCTGTCCTAAAGCCTTTCCGGAGGGTGCAGGCAGCCCTATGCTCCAGCACTGCCCATTAAGGGGATGAGGAGGGGCTGAGCACATCCCCCTGGTCCCAGTGGGATGGAAACCCCACAGAGCAGCGTGCTGAGGGTGTCCTGGGCTCAGGGGAGCTGCTGGTGGAGGCTATATCCTCCCCAGACCACGTCCAACCTCCCCCATCCAAGCCACAATGCCGCAGGGTGAACCACACTGTTCTTTTAGCACCCAAAATTACATCTCCTTTCCCAACCAGCCCAGAGCAATGTCACCATCCAAGCCCTCTCTATCTTGTTGGTTGTCCCTGTGTCCTCAAACTGTCATCTCCACATTTCCCATAACCTACCCAAAGCCAAAACACCAGATTCAGCCCACAAACACCATCACATTATCCAAGAGGTTGCAGGACAGAAGTAAAGCAAGAGGTTGGCAGTGGCCACTTGCACAGCCACAAGGACACCCATGCTTTGGGCTAGCCACCAACACACAAAGTGGGTTGAGAACCAAGCAACGGAAAAGCAGAGCTTCAGAGAGTGGGAAGGAACGGGCTGGGAGACACAGCACAGGAGGAAAAAGCTGGGATTTGTCCCAGCTCTTCTTCCTCTGGTATATCCAAGAAGCTATCACTGAGAAATCAGCCCTGGGACTGGAATATTTGTGTTGTTTTCCTGAAGCAAACACTTTCTCCAGCATTACACAACATGCAGGTTGGGTTTATTTGCATTTTGAGGAACTCCCAGGGAGAAATGCTGACAGAGCCGCAGGAAGTGCAGCAAACACACCGAGAGGAGACGTCCCCTCCCTGGGAAGGATCTGGAACAAATCGTTCCCTATTCTGGCCCTGAGGGCCCAAAGTTTCATTAAAGAAGAAAGTAAAACCACCCAACAACTGCAGGCGGCACTTGGGTAATGCAAGGCGCTCTGTCCCAAGGCCATGTGCCACCCCAGAGCCTCACCATCGTTGGGGGGCACCCAGGCATTGAGGACCCCAGGGCCAGACCACGGCATCCTCGGTGCTCTGAGTGATGAGCACCCACAGGAGAGAGAGCCAGGGAAGAAAAAGCCTTTCTTACCTTCTTCAGAGTCAGCTCCCGCCTCCCCTTCTAGCTCTGAGAGATGGAGGGAAGTGATGGGAGCAGGGCAGAGGTGGAAAAAGGGAGGAGTGAGACGGAGAGAGAGAGAAATCTGAGTTAAGCAGCACTGCTTTGCAACAGGAGCACACAGAAGGCAGAGGAGAGCCCCACACCTTCCCAACCCCATATATCTCTAGCATCCAGCCTGGCCATTTCAGAAATGACGTCCAGAAGCCTGCATACCCATATCCCTATGGGAAGGTCCCCACAATGGCCTGGCCCAAGCACAGAGGAGGAAGTGCCTTCTGCATCTGATGGAGCCTCCACCCAAGAGGTGTCCTCACAGATGTCCCCCAAGGAAAGCCACCCGCAGTCCCCACGCTGCACTCACCTCCCACTGGGTGCAGCAGGATGTCGGCTGGGTTATGGGGTTTCAACCCCAGTGCTGAGAGAGGGGTCTTGGCCAGGCCAGGTGGAGAGCGCACTGTCAGCACCGGGGTGGGGGGAAACAACAGCATTAAGGGCAGGATAAGAGGGGAAGCTTCCAAAAGTCTGGAGCTAGTGCTGCCCGGGAGGTGAGCCCCATCCCACCCACTGGCTGAGCTCAGGACTGCCAGAAAGAGGGGATGCCCAAGTTTGGAACAGCATCACCATGTGAAGACACACAAAGGACAGAGTGCACACAAGCAGTCTGTCCCATTTGTGGAATGGCAGGCCACAAAAGGGGGGCAATTCCCAACAGGGCAGGCCCAGCCCCCATCTCTCAATTTTGTCCCACCATAGGCACGAAACCTCCATCATCATCCCATTCCCCCTCCTCAGCCCTCCCATTCAATCCACCCCTCTGCTCCCCCCTACACTTGGATGTCCCAGTACACCCCATCGATCTAGGACTGGTAATACATCTATTACCCACAAAACAGCTCGACAGGCAGGTGATTATGTTTGTACAGAGCTCATTCCCCAAGGGTATCTAATGCACGTAGAAGCTCTGCACCCGCCAAGCTCATACATACATACCAGTGGGAGCTGCCTATGTATGCACGGCGATGGCTATGCCTGCACCAGCAGCGCAGGATGGTTGGGATTAATGGGGTATGGTTGTGCATCCTATCCCCTCTTACCCCACAGATCTGCCTCATCTCCTCAGTGCTGCATTCCACCAACCCTGCCAACATCCCAGCTTGCTCACTCTCCCCAGCATTCACCTTGAAGCTTCTTCAGCATTTGAACATCCCAACTTGCAGCAGGGATGCCAGGAGGCGGTGGGTGGTAGGAAAGGCAACCCCCTCCCCTGAGGCCACATCTCAGAGCAGCCTCAGTCTGGAGCAGCCAAGTCACTGGGAAACCTAGTTTTGGCAGGTGGCTGATTTCCCAAAAACTGATTTCCCCCAGTCTGGTTCTTTGTCAATGCTGGCAGACAAACTATGGGGTTCTCCCCAGGGCCAGGGACAGCAGTGTTCTCGTGGAGAGGAACAGTTCCTGCATCACCCCTAGTGAAACTCTAGTGCAGCCTGAAAGCTTGAGCTTCAAACTTCCTCCTTGACTTTCACTGGACAAGAAATCCTGCCTCTGGCCACCTCCTTTGCCAGGCTGTTCTGTCACCTCTTCGAGTGACTCATCCCCCAAAATGAGTCACTGTCCCTCTGCCAAGGGCCTGCTGGGTCCGAGGAACAACGAGGCCATTTCTGAGTTGCCAAATGCCCCGGGGACATTCCCACACTCTGATCACTGCATCCCATGAAACAGGAACATCAGTGGACAGACAGCAGCAGCGTGGGGAAAGCAGCCTGATCTGCAAAGGGCATCAGCGTTGCCGAGTAGGACCAGGACACAGACTGACTGCCAGCCCTAAAGCATCCTTCTGTGGTCAGCCTACAGAAGGTTATTTTGGGAGGGCAGAGAGGTTACCATCTTTTCGATGGGTTTCCCAGTTGACCAGCTGCTCCATTGCACAGGGGGTCATCACCAGAGCCGGTCACACAAACCCGGTCCCCACAAACCCACCACAACTGCACAGCTGGGGTTAGTCAGAAAGGAGCCAGAGAAGCAGAGACAGAACACATGCAACACTCTTTGCAGACCTATGCCATTCCTGCCCTAAAAACAGTGAGTGGGAAGTGGGACAGTGTGCAAGAGTCTACCCTGAGCTCCTGACCCTACATTCCCTACTGTCCCCTTAATGCTCTGTAGCTTTTGTGCCATGCTGGTAGAAAAGATGGGGAGCTGCAGGAATGGGATGGTGCCATCTCTCTGACCCTGCCCCCCTCCTCATCCCTTCTGCAGAAACACCCCAGTGAGTGGAGGATGGGGAAAAGCCAACAGGACAGTGCCAAGAGTGGGATGCAGATGGTGGGATGTGGAAGAGAGAGGAGGAGGAGGAGGAAGGAAAAGAGGAGTGAGCGATAATCGTGGCAGTGGGTGTATGGAGCCCGGAGCTGTCTGACCCTTGGCAAATTTCTGGTTTGATGAAAGCCACCCACCGAGCCCTTCCACCTCCCGGAGCCGCGGCACTTACGGGAGTCGGAGTAAGGGGTTTGTGGCGAGACAGGGAAGGCTGGGGTTGGGGGAGAAATCTCACCACCGCCGGAGGTCGGGCTGCTGGGGGAGGCACTCTCCATCTCCTCGAAGGCTTCCTTGTAGCTGTGGAGGTGAGGCTGGGGGGAGAGCAGGAGAAAGGGTTGGTCCCATCTGTGCAATGGGCACAAACCTCCAGATGGAAAGTTTTCACCTCCTCACCAAAAATGCATCATTAAACCCCCAATCCTCCAGAACGCTGCCTCCCAGCCTTTCCTCTCCCCACCCACACCCCCCAGCACCAGTACCCAGCGCACCTCCTTGGGCCTCCCTCCGGGGTTGGCCGCGATGGTGCTGACCACCTCGGGCGAGAGGATGGTAGGACTGCGGGGAGAACTGGGCTCCGGCGAGCTCTTCTCATAGTGGCTGTCACTGGGGGTTCGCCTTCGGGCAGAGACAGTGCTCTCCTCTGGGGACTTCTCCCGGGACTGCACCCCTACAGGCAAGCACAAGGCACGGGAGAGGGGTGAGGAGGTGCCAGCTGGGATAGGGCTGGGAGATGCTCCATGGCTGATCCAAGGATGGTTTGGAGAAGGGGCTCTGCCCAGCAGGGATGGCAGCTTCAGCACTCAGCTGCTCCCATCCCATGGCAGCGGAGCTAGTTTTGAGCCAGATCAGATCTGCTCAGCAGCAGCAGCAAAGGGGCAAAGAGAAAAAGCAAGCCAAGGCTGTGGCTAGTTCACTGCATTATCCCAACCAAGCACTGTGAGTCCTGAGCTGAGTCCATAGCATTCCCTAGCATCAGGTGTGTGAGGTGTGAGCTCCACAGAGCATTCTGCAAGCAAGCCAGAGCTCAGTGTAGCACATAAGGTCCTGGCTGCCTAAGGCTGGTTAGTTCACACCAGTGATCTCAGTGGGCTGGGAGAAAGAACCAGGAATGGGGACAAAGGAGCTTCACGAGGGGGTGAGGGATGTGGCAAGGCCCAAACACAACCTTCACTCCACCCAGCCCAGCAATGAAGCTTCTCCAACAAAGCAGTGCCCAGGGTGGCTGTGGTGCTGAGTTTGGTGCAGAGGGCTCAGTGGGGGCCATGCACAGCACAGCTCATAGCCCCTCTGGGGACTGTCCTGGGGGCCTGCATAGCAGCAAGGAGATCCCCAACCTCAGACACGCTGCTGAGGTGACAAGGTGACACAGGGACTGGCAAAGGTGACAGCGCTGTCCCCTCTACTCCTCCCATGCGCCCTGCTGAAAGAGGCATTGCAGGAGGGTAAAGAGAGAAAAAGGGACGGGAAAAAAAAAAAAAGTAAAAAGTAAAAAAGAAAAAAAAAAAGACGACAACTGAAAAACAAGAGGCCAGCAGAACGCTCCAGGAAATGCACTTCTCCAACACCAACTCCTTTCCCACGGGCTGGCGGAGTGCAGGCGGCCATCAGCTGCTCCTCCTGCTCATCAGAGCTCCGCGCCTCGCGCCCGCTGACCTCTCCTCCCGTCCACCCCTGCACTCGCTTAGCGCACTGCCGCAGCCCCCGGCTCCTCCGGCAGCGAGGGAGGGAGGGAGGGAGGTGGCCGGGTGCATTTCGAACTAATCAGTGCAGTTAATGGCAGCAACAATAAAATCAACGCTCTGGGGAGCAGCGGCCCGGCTGAGAGGCGGGGGACGCGAGCCAACGGGGCTGGCTCGAGCCGCGGAGGCGGCCTGGAAAATTCCACTCGGAGCGGCTTTGAAACACAACTCCTCAATCCCTTCTGCAGGTGCTCGGGGGCCGGCGGCTCAGAGCCCATGGGGGGGTCTCCGGGATGCTGTACTGCAGGGGAAGCATCGCACCAGGACACCCCAAACCTTCTGTCTGGCTCCTTGGGCTCCTCCAGTTGCACTCGCCTGCCTTGGCTTGCTTTGGGCACCTTGTGCTCCAAGGCTGTCCCCCAGCACTGCTGCACTGGGGTGTCCCAACCCTGAACTGCTGCATGGGGATGGAGAGGGGAATGTGGGGCCGGTCCCGAGGTCAGGCTGCTTTTCGGCGCTCAGATGCCCAGCAGCTCACAGGCTTTTTGCTGCTCCACTCCCCAGAAATGGAAAACAGACGGGGACGGCAGGGAGGGGAGGGAGGAGGGGAAAAAAGGGACTCATTGTTCAGGAGTCGGGAGTGGGAAACTTCACAGGCTGCTCCGAGCGAAGCCTGGAGGAAACCCAGGCTCTGCGCACAGCCTCCCGACCCCTGGGTGATTTATGTACTGGAAACTATGCTTGAAAAATAAACCCTCCTTTCCCGCAAAGCCATGCCCCCTCGGCAGATGTGCAGCCCTGCTTGGCCACACAGCAGCTCCCCAAGGACTCCTTGTCCCCCTGCAGGAGCAGCATGCCTTATCACGGCACATCCAGAGTGTCCAAAAATGGGGAATACAGCATCTTGCCCCCACTCTGTGCCCATACTGCTGTCCGTTCCCTAGGGTGATGTCACTCCCAGGAGCAGACAGAGGTAAAAAACTTGTTCCCTTTCAGCATGGAGAACAGCAGCAAACTCTGCCCTGCAGTGCTCACCACAAGACCCAAATTTTTCCATCCCTCTGGTCACAGACATATCTACTGCTCTCCTCCATCCTAGAGTGCTTCATCAATGTGGCATCAATGTTTCACCCCAAAAAGCACCACAGCACTGATGCAACGTCCCTACTGCGAGCAGCACGCTCCAGCATTCAACCTTGCCTTCAACTTTCCAGTCCATCCCAAAGGGATTCACATCAACACCACAGGCCAGAGCCCAGCCCCATTGGGGACAACCTCAGGACTGATTCAGCCACGTCCCCCTGTGCCACGGGCTTGGTAGGCTCAGACCTCTTCCATCCTCCTGTGGGGCTTCCCCTCCATCCATCCCATGTTCATGCAACACACAGAGCACTCGGCATGCAGGCAAGGAGGGGGAAGAGAGAGGGAAGAAAGGAAAAGAGGAAAGAGAGGGAACAAAAGAGGAGACAGGAATGAGAAGGAAAGAGGAGTAGGAAAAGGAAAGGAGAAAAAGGAAGAAGGAAGGAAGGAGGAAGAAAGGAGAAAGAAGTCTTGAGAAGGAGGAAGGAGGGAGGTGGAATGAACAAACCGGAGGAGGAGAAGGACCGTTGCTGGTTCAGAGGAGGACGGGGGGCTTTGGTGCTCTTGTTGAGGTCCCTGAGCTTGGCGTTGTACTCTGCCAGCATACCAGGACAGGGTGCAAGGTGTGTGGGAGGTCACAGGGACACACACAGACCCCATGGGGAAAGGAAGGGGCAGACAGGACATATGTCACGAGATACAACAGGGAGACAGAGAGAGAGAAAACAAGAGATGATTAGTCGGGCTCCACGAATGAGCCTGAGGTCGCCTGGGGTCCAAGGGAGCTTAAGCCCTACTTGGAACTGCCCTCACATCACCCAAACTGCCAGGAACATTGCTTCACTTCACCCCTCCCCTATAGCTCCAGGGGCTGCTTGTACACCAACTGGGAACGCTGTGGCTCCCAGCCACACACGGCCTTGTGCAATGCCATTGAAGCCCTGACACCATCCCCTTGAGGATGGCACCATACAGGGCCCATCCATCATGAGATGAAAGGATAGAGGACGGGGACTTGAAGCACAGCAGAACTGGGGTGCTGGGGATGGAGGAGGTGCGAGATGCTCCTCGTCACTGCGCCAGGACACACAGGCAATTTATAGCAGCAGAGAATGTAAACAAACCCATCCGTGCCTGACTTCCAACAGCGTCCCCTCCCAGGCCCAGCGCTGGCTTGGGGACACTTCGTTCCTGGCCAGGGGTCAGCCCGCCCGCTCTGTCCCCACTGGCACAGACAGCCAGACTGGGGACAGGTGGACACAGGCTGGGGCCGTCCCCATTCGTCTCTCCTCCATGGGTCACTGAGGTGGGACTGAGCCCAGCCCAGTACCCAGGACCCTGCCCTGACCCCCTGCTCTGGTGCAGGATTTCCAATAGATGCCAGACAACCATTTCCCACCCACCCCAAACACTATTCCTCCTCCTCTTAGGGCTCTCCTCTTTTCCATTCTACTTCTTCCCCTACTCATAGCTGCTCAGTGGATTTCAGGGGGGATCTTATTAAAACATTCAGCCGAGATGTACAGTGAAGTTTGGGCATCTCCATACCCTTGGGTTTGTTTAAAGCCCTGGCTCCCTGAATAGCTCTGTGAATCTTGAACTCTCAAGATAGGGTTTGAATGGATGCAAACTTCATCCCTGTTCTGCCCCACAGTGCTGCCCCCCACCCTGGGGCAGTGGTGACTCAGCCCCAGTGCTGGATGGGTTGCCACTGTTGGATTTTTCCAGCCAAGCCCTCTTCCCCCTCCCTTCAATACCAGGCGAGTTTCTGGACTGAGCGCAGTGCTGGAACGGACGGAGCTGCCAAGCCCCAGCATCACGAGCTGGCCCCAAGCCTGGACGCATCCCCAAACTTTCCCAAATGTCGCTCCGCAATGAAATAACTGCTCACTTGAGCAGCAGAAGTGAGGGAACTAGTGCTGTGGCAGCTCTTGGGTTGGGTGGGACCCTCTGTGTCCTCAAAACCCCCAGAGCTAGAGACGAGGGCAGGCAGGCAATCAGAGCAGTCTCCCAGATGCTGTTGCCCCTTCCTGCTCCATCACAAAGCTGAGAGCCTCATGGCAACCCTGAGATGGTGAGCTGTGCCAGTGGGCGCTCAGCAAGCAGAAGAGGCTGCCCCCTTCCCAGGATCTGTGCTGGCTCAGTCCCAGGCTTTGATCCAGCACAGATGAGGAGTCATCATCCCCCATCCTCACTGCCACCATGCAAGGTGCCAACACCAAGCTCATCCCCACACCACCCTTGCGGGCTGCAGCTGCTCGGGACGCACGTCCCCTCCCTGTCCCCCCAAGGAATCAAAGCATCCTACCTGCCACCCTGTGGGCCACCAGCCCTTCCAGATTCAAAGGCTCTTCTCCCGATCTCGACAGGTCTTCATAGCTCTCCAGTCCCTTGTGGGGCAGCTGGCTTTGTGCTGGTGCAGTGGGGGATGGCGGGGAAGAGACGAGAAGCTGCTGAGACCCTGCAGGGCTGTACGAGGCACTGAGTGGGAGGATGCTCGCTGGTGCACTGCCATAGCTCCGAGGCTCTGGCACTGGCTGGTAGCTATAGGGAGTATAGGTTTCCCGGTACTCATGCACAGTGTAGTCTGGTTCCGCAGTACTTCGAGCCGCAGGAACCAGTGGACCAGGAGAGTAGGCTTTGGCCAAGGGATCAGTGCCTATAGAGGTGCCAAAGGACCTGGGCTGAACCACCTGTGGGGCTGGCTGAGCATAGTGACCACTGAGTGGCTGTGCAGATAATGAGGAGAGCATGGCAGCCGGCTTGTCCTGGCGGGCGGCTGCGGAGGGGACACTCTGTGACTTATGGACGGAGGGTGCAAGGTCCAGCATCAGGACATCAAGTGCTTCAATGGACTGCTCGATTTCCCGGCGCGATGGAGCCCGGGGGAACTCGGGCATGCTGTGGCTGTGCGGGGGCATGGGCTGCAGCGGACTGGGCTGGGGGCTGCAGCTGGACAGGCTGGGGCTGTGGCTCTCCAACCCACCATCATGAAGCTGGGATGGTGGTCGGCTGCCGCCCTGCTGCTGCCAGGAATTCAGGCCCCGCTGCACAGCCTCCCGACTGCTGGTACTGCGAGCCGGAGCCTGCGGTAATGCCGGGTTCGCTTCGTACTTGGCTGTCCCCACAGCCGGGAAGGACTGAGAGCGGTGGGCACTGGGTAAGTCATAACCGTACAGGTAGGGCTGTGGCACCGGAGGCTGGAGCCAGGCCGGTGAAGCTGAAGCTGGCTGCCGCTGCGGGTACCCAGCCAGGTGCTCCTGCGTGGATGCTGAGGGCCGTAAGTGAGCCAGCGGGTCACGGAGGTGGTGGCCCATCAGGGTATTCTGGTTGCTGTAGGGGTAGGCACCGTTGGAGAGAGGCTCAGCCTCATAAAGCCCTTCTTTCAGCATCTTCTCAGCCCCATTGTAGCTAGCCGGGCCGTTGGGCAGCGAAGAGAGGCTGCCCACACGTGGCGCCTCGTGGAAGCCAGCCTCGCTGGCAGTGGTGGTGCCATCTAAGGACGAGAGCGTGCCCAGGCTGCCCACACTGTGCCCATCCTGGTTGGGCAGTTCATCATCCAAGATGTCCGTCTCCCGCTCGGCCAGCAGTGGTGTGCCAGCACCATTGACGTGCACCTGGGCTGGAACTACGTGGCGGCCCGACCCGGCGGGCAGGCGGGCAGGTGCGGGGCCTGGTGCGTGGTTGTGCATGGGTGCCGCGCTCTCCAAGCCAAAGCCGACCAGGAGACGGTCCAGCTCCCGCTTCTCCTCAGGGCTCAGCACCGCGTGGCCACCGGGTGCCCCGGGAGCCCCTGGCTCATCCGTCCGGTCGGTCTTGGTGGAGGCAGTGGAGTTGCCCGAGTCGCTGCTCACCGACAGTGTGTGCTCAACGTGGTTGGGGGCTGCTGAGAGGGGGAGGCGGGCGGTGTTGACAGCGCCGATGCTGCCGTGCAGGGAGTCTTTCTTCTTCACTTTAGCGTAGAGGCTCCCGTCCAGGGGCCCTTGCGTGTGCCCAACCTCTGCAAGGGGAGAAACGAACACGAGACCCCAGATCAATGGCTGGCTCTCCGCACGTAGCTAATGGGTCCCATTAGCCGGTGGTTTCGATCTCTTCCGTGCCGCCAGAGTGCTTAACTACCAGCATGGCCGTCTCCTCCGCACCTGGCGCGGTCCCGCGGGCGCCGCCATGCACAGACGCCGGTGCCAGGCCCCCTCCCCGCACCCCGTGGCTCCGCGCCGTCCTTCCCTGCCCTGCAAGCACCGCATGCTCCGCCGACATCCAGCAAACAGCCCCCCGGCTCCGTGCAAAGTCCGTGGCTGTTCTCCTCCCGGCCCCACCGGTGGGGAGGGCTGGGGCTGCTGATACCATTGGACATCGCTTAACGGCTCCACCCAAAGGGACGCACTGGGGCACTGGAGGGCAAACGGGGACCATGGGGGCAATGCATGCACACAGACCACAGGAGGCGAGGCAAGGAGGAGACGTACTCAGTCTGGCATGGAAGACAGAGGGACCGAACACCCATCTGCCCCCTCCTGCCTCCTCTTTCCTCCCACTCTCCTCACAGACCATGCACGGATCCAGACCAGCCACCCATCCTTGACATTTTCTTCCCTGGCTACAGCAAGGCTCCCACCCTTTCAGTTTTTTCCCTTCCTCTTTCAGGGCGGGTGGATCTGCTCCAGGCCTACTCCAGTGGCCAGAAGCTCCCACACAAGCAGTATTTCTTCTCAACCCCGAGCACATAGCAACTCCTCCGTGGGGAAGCACAAGACACCGCACAACTCAAAACCACATTACAGCAATGTCACCACTGGTCTCATACCCCACCCCAAGCCCCCCAGATCCCACCACTACCACCACATCCCAATGAGTCACCCAATCCTTAGGGATGCAGCGAGACCCTGGCCACCACGGTGGCACTGAGTACAGCCCCCTTTCACCATGGCTGTCTCCCCCCAGCAGCACGCACAGCACCGGCTGGGCTACAGACTCTTGTTTTTCCAGCTCCCCGACAAGGTTTCCTGGAAGGGGCTGTGAGCAGCATTAAACACTTTCTTTTGGAGGAAAAAATGACTCTTCGCTGGCTGGGGGCCAAGCGGCTGACTCAGGAGCGGAAGACAGCCCTAATGCGATAGTGTGAAATCAGAGCACTCCTATCTGTGAGCAAAACACTTCCGAAAGCCAGTCCTGAGCTGGAGCACAGGGCCGTGTCAGCCAATCCCTGTCTGCCCATGGGGACGCACTCATCCCATGCCATGACCCCTCCTCACCATGCACAATGCCCAGCACACAACCTACCCAGCCAGCCTGTTTCAACCCCAAGAAAAGCGCTCTCAGCATCAGTTTTCCACTTTCACGTCCCCGTTGGCAACCCAGGAAGGCAGCTGAGCCCCAAATATCCCCCTGGCCTCAAAGGTGGGGTGATGCAGCAGGGACAGCAGAGTCCCTCTTGGGCATGCAGTGTGGAGGGATGAGAATTTTCACACATCTTCATGCAGCCAGGAACCGGCAGCATTTGACTCACAGCAGGGAAAGGGAGAAAGAGGGAGGGAATCCCTTCCAGTGGAGGAAGAAAGGAAAAAGTATCGTGTCCAGGGGCAGCGTTAACACCGGAGAGACTGAGACATCGCCTAGAGCTGGGACATCGCCCAGCCCTTGTCTGATGGCAGTGACGGGTGCTGGCCAGTCCCAAGAAATAGGGCAAGAGCCGAAGGGGGCTGGGATAAATAGGGCAAGGGAATAGAGAGGAAAAGGGAATAAATAAATATAAATGGAAGCACGTGGCTCCAAGGGAAAAAAATAGATGGGAAAGGCTTTAATTAGTCCGTAGGCTGGGAACCGCCCCACTGCTGGGCGAAACATCTCGAAAGCAGGGTCTGCAAGGGGCACAGCTCACCGTAAGTGCCTGTCCCACCTGCTGTGCACCCTTCAGCCTGATGAGGACACAGCAGTTTGGTGACCTCCATCCCAAGAGTGGCACTGGAGTGGCAAATGAGGAAGGCCATGCCCCCTGCCCCACACCAGACTGCACACCCTGTCCTCAACCCCATGCCTCTGATGACAAGAGGCAAATATCTGCTGCTCCCTGCCACCTCTCCATAGCACTCCAGGACCATACTGTGATGAGAAATTAAATAAACTGCCCCAGAACCAAACAAGAGAGGAGGGTACAGGCTGCCTCAGCCAACACTGCCATATCCAAAGCAGCAGGAATCCAACTCTCTGTTTGCAAGTGGCCACAGCTCCCGGCAAGGTCAGGCTTCGTCCTGAAGGTCAGCACAACTCCAGCCCAGAGGGTTGCGCGTCTGCCCAAGCTCAGCTCCTGGTATAGCTCAGGGCTGGCTGGCATAGAGCCTGGGGGGTCTTTCTCCTGCAGCCCCCCTCACTCAGAATGGGAGAAAACCCAGCCCACAGCAAGTAACATCAGGAGAGGGGCTCAGCCCAGTGGGTGGTAAAGAATGCATAACCAAGATCCCAGAACCCTATCTCAGGAGCACCATGCTCCCACACAAATCCTGCACTCATGTCGAGGACAAGGCTGGGATACTAAGAAATCTCCCCCAAACCAGTCCCCAGCAGCATCCCATCTGCTGCCACCACCCCAGCAGGCAGGACCACACGGGATGAAGAAACCAGGGAAGAGCTCACCTCTCCCCAGCTCTGGTCTATTTCACGTGCCCAGATACGATAGCAAGAAGTAACCCCAGCCTCTGAGCCAGGGGTCACCACGGCCATGAATTCCACCCCCATACCTCTAGCCCTCCCCTCTCCCAGTCCATCCAGCTCAAAGAAAAGCAAGCACAGGACTTACCGAAAGGCACAGAGAAGAAAAGATCCTGAACGAAGAGAAGGAGCGGGCAGCAAAATCCCTTTCCTTCACTCCTTCCAGGGGACCTGGCACAGTGGCAGCTCGAGCGGCGCCTGCAGCTGGCTCTGCGCGTCCGTCCAGGACAGGAGCTGATGGCCGGCACTGGCTTTGGGCTGCCGTTTGTCCTTTCGGCTTTGCTTTCCCTCTCACAGAGCTATTCCCCACTGTAACGCTGTGTCTCCAGGGCCAATTTAGGGGCACCCCAAACACAGTAGGGGGACCATAGGGCTCAGACCTGGCGCAGCAGCAGGGAGAGAGGGCGGGATGAAGGAGGGAAGGACAGAGGAGGCTGGAGGCGAGGAGGTGCCGGTTCCCTCCCCTCTGCCCAGACCACACAGAGGAGAGGCAGTGGGGAGGCGTTTGGGGGCTGCTGGAGCCCCAGCCCTGTTTAACCCAGCGAGGGGCAAGCCGCCATGGAGGGAGGGCAGGGAGGACAGCCGGACAGACAGCTCCTGGTTATGAATATTAACTACTTCCTCCAGAGGCAGCCAGCGCAGCGCTGCATTAACCATTTCTTTGGCGTTGCAGACATATGGACAGATTCCTCAAAAAGAGCCAGACAGACAGCCTGCTCTCTTCACACCACAGCATCGCCCACTGCAGGAGGCCCCCAGCCCAAGGACCCTCCAGTTCAAGAGCCCCCCCAGCCCTGCCTAGCTCTGGCGTCACGTCACACCTGTCCCCAGAAAGTGACACATTCCATGTGGGAGGAGGGGGGTGGCCTTTGGGGCCACACGTCATGCTTTAAGGAGGCAGACCCAAAGCTCTGGCTGGAGATGCTAGTTCCTCCTTCTTAAACAAGTGCCCGGCTCAAAAGGCACAGAAACCCTTCCAATGGCCCCATCGGCCAAACCTGACCTTCTCTCTACTCTCCCCAAAAATCACATCTCTCATACCTCCACGAATGACGACGGGAGCAGCATTTGCACCCAAGCCCTCAACTCAGAGCCTGGTTTCCCCAAACACCGACGTGCACCATGCATCCTTGCACACCTTTTTTGCTTGCTTTTCCACCTTTTGATTTTTCACCCCTGGTTCCACAGCTCTGGGTACACCAAGGACACCCCAGACACACTCCATCAGTTTAAGGACTGTTTAAAGAGGAAAGAGACGGGGCTGAGCTCTTACTGCCTGCCGAGCACCCCTCCTGCATCCTGCTGTGAACCCCCATGTTCCAGCTCGACCGTCCAGCCAACCCACGGATACTTCACCATTACCCCATGGGGAATAACCAGAAGAAAAGTGGAGAAACTGCCCCTGGATCCAGCCCCAGCCCTCTGTGCCCTCCAAAACCCACCCGCTGAGCCCTTACCTCGCAGCGGCCAGAGCGTAGAGCAGCGCAGATGGGCGGGATGGGGAGGGGGAAGCAGATTCCTTCAGCTTTAGTCAGCTGGCGAAAGCGAGAGCAGAGCCAGCGGCTCCCTCCCTGCTGAGCCCAGCCAGGGGACAGAGCCAGGCGCAGGGGGGAGAGCCTCAGTGTTCCACCGATGGCTTTAACAGCCCCAGCCTGCCCCATCTGGCTCCCTGCCTTCACACAGCTCGGCTCGCCTGCTGCTCCGTATGATCTAGCTGTCCAAGCAGGCCCAAGGCAGGAGCCCAGCAAGATGCCACCCACGCCACCATATAGACAAACCTCTGGCACTGACCCCATGGTGGGGACAAACCTATGGCACTGACCGAATCCAGGGACTTTGTGACCATGGAAAGGTGCAGGACTGATGCCCAAATTGTTCCCTGCATGGGCTAAGGAGGCAGGAGGGCACCAGCATCATCCCAGGATGTTTTTCAGCCAGGGCTGATGCAAGAGGCTGGCACCCCCCATAAACATGCCCACTCACACCCCCACTGTGCCATCCCAGACACGGGCATGGTGGGAGTGAAGTATAGGCACATGAGCACAGCCAAGACAGAGGCCAGCAGCATTACTCAGGTGGGGATTTAGCAAGCCCCATACAGATGTTGGGCTTGGCCCAGCCTCAGCAGTCCCCATTCCAGCAGTGGAGACAGGGCTTGTACAGAAGGAGGCAGGGATGGATACCAGGTTCAGTGGAGTAAGTGGGTCCAAGGGACAGTGGTTATGGGACCCACTGGGTCAGGGACACACACGGTCCTTCGGCACAACCTCACGCTGCCCCAGCATGCCAGAAACCTCTGTCCGCCTGCTCTGTACTACCACAGCCACACATCCAGGTCCTGGGGATAACTCCCTACCATCTCTGTGCCAGCTCCAGCACTCCGCTAGCAATGATCTTAACAAAACCAGGCAATAATCACTCCCCATCTACATTGCCAGTGTGCAGTACCCCAAAAATCTCTCTGCAGCAACTCTCCAACAAGCTGCAAAACCCACAGTGCTCCAGCTGCTCCCTGGACCCAGTCTGGCTCCACCAGGAAGAGCAGAACATCCTTCATCCACCCTGAACAGGGGAGACTTTAACTCTAATAACAGCCATCCCCTTCCTCAGCTTTCTTAGCTGCTGTAAGTATGGAGGGAACTTATTACAGAGCCAGAATGACCCCAAGCCTCCTTGAGGAGGAGACAGGAGGGCAGGCGGAGCTGCAAGCCACTATGCAGGAACCAATGATATGCAGTGGGATGGGAACGGGGGGGGTCCCAGTGCACCCCACTCTCACTGATAACCACAGAGCAGCCCAGGCCAGACGAGGACATGGATAAAGCCAACAGAGCAGGTTGTGGAACAGCCTGGCTGGGCCAGAGAGCCAGATGTGGATGTTTGCTCAGTCAACCAAGGATCTCGCTGCATCTGTTTCCCCCATGAAGATAAGCAGACAGGTGGCAAGCACCAGAACAGGCACCACCCCCGGTAGATCCCCTGCTATCCACCATGGGGTCATCCCCAGCCCAGCAGCCTCTTTGCACCCAGCATGCACCCCAAACAGAGCCAGAACGAGAAGGGGAACCCACCGGTTCGCAGCCGATCCTGACCTCCAGCCTGCCGCCTCCTCCGGGAGCCTTCGCTGGGCGTCAGGGAGCGGCAGTGGCAAAGCAGCAGCGCGGCAGTTGATCCCACCCCGGTGCTGGTCCCGTGTCCCCCCCCCCGCCCCGTGCCAACCTCCACCCCCCCCCGCCCCACCACCGCCGCTTGCTTGCGCCTGGTGTGCCAAAAATGTTGGCGTGCAATTCTCTGACCAAATAAGGCGAGAACAACCATAAACAAGGACCCCCTCGCACTGCCGCCTCAGACACCGGCAGCCCCAGCCCTACAGCTGCCATGCCAGCCTGCTGCAGCCAGACCTAGCGAGGGAGGGAATAGGGCTGTGGAGGAGGGAACCTGGCCTCGCTCCCCACAAAAAGCAGCACCATCATTCCGCAAAGTACGGTGACATCCCGTAGCCATGCTGGCCACCCGCGGCTCTGACCTTTCTCCAGATGTTTCCCCGGCAGCGTTGGCTCAGCCCAGGCCCCCTCAGCACTGTCCTCACGCTGGATGTTAAAGTTCTCATAGGAGTCCCAGCGGATGAGCGGGTCGGATGTGTTGTAGTCCACTGAGACGCTGGGGCCGTTCTCCAGGTGCTCCATGCCTGGGAGGACGAAGGACAGTCCATTGGGGTGAAAAAAGACCTGGCACATGAGGGATGGGGCCAAGTGATGGCACAGGGGATGGAAAAAGGGGAGATAAGGTAGGAGGGTTGTGGGTGAATTGCCTTGGGATAGAGAGATGGATGGTCAGCCTCTTTTCCAAGGTAACTAGCAATAGATCCAGAGGGCATGGCCTCTAGTGGTGCCAGAGGAGGTTCAGGTTAGATTTCAGGAAGAATTTCTTATTAGAAAGAGTGGTTGGGCATTGGAACAGGCTGCCCAGGGAGGTGGTGGAGCACCGTCCCTGGAGGTGTTCAACAAAAGGGTAGACATGATACCAAGTGACACAATTAGCAGGCAACATTAGTGATAGGTGGACAGTTTGACTGGCTGATCTTACAGGTCTTTTCCAACCTTAAAGATTCTATGGTTCTATGGGCAAGGATTGCCCTAGGGCTGTACTTTTTGGGGTGCAGATCCTCCTTGCGCTGGCTTTACCTTGGATCTTTTCAGGGCCGTAGGAGAACACAAACTCCACCTTTCCATATTCAGGGAAGCGTTCATCTAGCACGGAGAGAGCAGAGCAAAAGGATATCACCATCTGTCCTCCCAACAGCACATGGACAAGCACAACAAACCTGCACAAAGCACAGGGCACCTGCCTTGCAGAATCACATAATGGCTTAGGTTGGAGGGGACCTTAAAGATCATCCACTTCCAACCCCCCCAACCATAGGCTGGCTGCCAGCCACTAGACCAGGTTGCCCAGGGCCCCATCCAACCTACCCTTGAACACCTCCAAGGATGAGGCATTCAAAACTTGTCCAGGCAACCTGTTCCAGTACCTCACCACCCAGCCAGCTGACTGCCTCAGCCAGCTCAAGCATTATCCTTGGGCAACGATATCCAGATTTTGGGATGCTGTCATCTCTCCCCACCTGGCACCACACCCATCACATAGAGCAGGATGGCCCTGGTTCATCTCCACCATGATCAGGATTGGGATAAGGGCTACCCACCACCAAACCCTTCACTAGATCAGCAGGAAAGCCCAGTCTCACGCAGCCTGGCAGATGGGGGATAGTCATTCTGGTCAGTGGGCGCTGCATACCTCAACAGTTCCCAGACACTGAGAGCAGCACCAGAGCTGCAGGATTGGAAAACTGGGAGAAAGGAGGAAGAGGCTGCATCAGATAGCACAGTTACCTCTGAATGCCTCATCCAGGTCCTCCTTGCCAAAGACAATGTCCAAGTCATGCACAGCGCAAGTGTGGAACTGCACGCGGAAAATCACATCACGGGTCGGGCTGCGGAACTTCTTGTGGTAGCACTTGAGCTGTGGGGATAGCAGGGATTAAATGAGCCTCCAGGCTGTCAGCCTGCCCTGAGGGCACAAGGACCACTGATCCCAAGCTCCCCTTGTGGGATGGGGTGAGCTCCTTACCAAGATATCGCCTTTGAGCAGCAGCCCCGGCTCGATGGTGATGCAGATGCCCGTCTGGCTGTCCCCTTGCACGTTGCTGTGGAGAAGGACAGTGTGAGGATGCGAGCCCCCACAACACCCAGCCTCCACCGGCCCCTTCCACCCAACCCCCCCCAGTCAGGGGCCCAAAGCACAGGGCTCCCCTCGCTCCTGTCTGAAGCCCCATCATGCACCAGGGAGCTTCCTGTGAGCAGTGGCGTCAGCGCTCAGCGGTAGGGGACAAGCACAGGGGACGCGGGAAGAAGGGAGTTGGATTTCACAGGCAAGATAAACCTGGAGTTTATTACCGGCATCCCATAAACAGTCTATTAAAAGCTGAAAGGCGAGGCTGGGGTGGCAGTAAATCTCAGCTAACGGGGATAGATGGATGGCGGGGATGGGAGTTCCTGGTTCAGGGGGGTGGGATGGGAATACCCCAAAGGCAACGGGCTCTGTTCCCCTTAAAGGGGCCCATCTGCAGGCTGGGTGTGGGGCCAGGAGCTGGGGGATCCACATAGGATGCGGCCCCAGCAGAGCATCCAGGCAGCTAGAGAAATGAGCTTCTTTGACTGTTCCCAGGGGCCCTGGTGCTGGGAATGGGGACACAAACCCAGCTCCATGTGGTAGCATCAGCAAAATGGTATTGGGATAAATAGCGCGGAGGTTAAAAAGTGGAAAACTATTCTGGGGGAGGAGGAGAGAGAGACTATTCTGCAGGCTCTAAAGAAGATGCTCTTCACAGCCACCTTCTTGCAATATGCTCTGTACCCAAGTGCCCGCCAGCGGGGTGCTGGCAGGGCATCAGCCCTGCAGGATTCCTATAGGGAGGGAGAACCATTACTAGAGAAGTGCCTCACATCATGCTCCAGCACAGAGATGGGTTTTACCGGGAAGGGAGCACCCCTGGCAGGAGGAGCATGTCTCTGGCCAGAAGCAGGAGAACCGCCTCTGCCCCCAGGGGACAGTGAGGTGTCCCCAGCCCCAGGCTCTGCACAGCTCCAGGCTCCCTCTGCTGATGCTCAGAGTCACTACAGCCCTCCAGCAGAAGCAGAAGTCACTCCAGCCCTCCAGCCAGGCCAGTACAGCCCAGTATGGCCAGTTCCTCCCTCCAAGAAAGTAGGGAGTCCCTTTTTTCACAGCTGGCAGGAATCAAGAGGACCGAGCACTGGAGATTTGGCCCTGAAATATCTCCATCCCACCTCCAAGCTGCAAGCTCCCCCCCAGCTGGACAGAAAGGGGGGCACGCTGCCCAACGTGCAGAGATAGTTACTAGATCCCCGATGTGTAGACGGGCTGCATGGCCTGATAGATCTTCAGGAAGGGCCGACAACCTGGAAGACATCAATGAGGGAGAGAAGGCATGTTGTTAGCCGGCAGGGTGGAGGGGCAGGGATTAGTCACGGGGTAGAAATCCAAACAGGGACAGAGCCAAGGCAAACAGCCACTCCCACCCCAGCCAGCCCGCACTGGTGAGGCCTCCAGCAGCGGGCAACATCTGGGATGGGCAGAAAGGGATGCTCCTGACTGCACAGGGCTGGGAGCAGTGTGGGAGTCCCCATAGCCCAACTGGGTCCTGTAGGACACACGTGGGGCTAGGGACAGAGGCAAGATGGAGCCTAATGGGCTTTGAGTATGGCATCTCGTCCAACTGCCCCAGCAGGCACTGACATCCAGTATGTACTGCCTCCCCTGCCCAAAACCCAGTCTAGTGCCATCCTCCAAAAAGCCATCAGAAAATCCTTATTGCTGATCAGTATTTAGTCCTAAGGGGGAGCAACCCCAGAGTGCATTCCTGCAGGGTAGCACCCTACTAAAGAGAACAGTTCTAGAGAGGAAAAGGATAGAAAGCATTTAAACTGCCCAGGGTATTGTGTAAAGTAACCCCCTTGGAGAACAAGGAGCAAAGGCTCCGGGGCACCTACCGCCTTTCGATTCAAAGTTGGGGATGCCGTGCATGATGACATGGTGCAGGAAGAGGGGCTTGTTGTTCATCTTGATGCTGCCAGAGAGGAGCCCACTGAAGTAGTGGATGTACCTGGAAGGGAGGACAGGCAGCTCAGGGACAGGTCCCACAGCCCCAACCGTGGGACAAACCCAAGGCCACGTCCCAGAACACACCTCTTCTGAGAGGGCTGCCCCACCGGCACCACCTTGTCCTCATAGAAGCGCTTCATGGCAAACCTGTCCAGAGCCTGGTCAGCACTGAGGGAACAAGGGGTTACATAAGGGAAGGAAAGCATTGCTATCAGCACACTGCAGTGCTGGGCAGAAGGTAGGGAAGCTCTGAGACTGTGCAATTGTTCTCACCTGGCCGAGATATTGCTGTAGTGCATGTAGGCAGCCACAACTACCCCCAGGCGGCCTCGGTTCCCCTGCAGGTAACAGAAAGGATATCACAGGGGTGACAGTGCCCATCAGCACCCCACACTCCCAAATCTTACAACACACAGCCCAATCTGAACACTGAGCCACCAAACACCAGGTTCCCTATACCTCTCAGCTTTCTCAGCTCAATCCCTGCAGCCCCGCTTTGGGGTCCAGCCCACCTTGTTGTGCAGCACCACCACATTGTGAGCCGCCGCGTTCAGCCACGTGTCCATAGCTTTGCAAATGCTGCAGATCTTCTCCAGTGCTGGCGTGTGCAGGTCAGGCCATCCAAAATCCAGCACCTGGGCAAGGAATGGGGGGGGGGCAGGGAGACAATCAAGAGTCAAAACCACATCACTTCTGCCTCTGCAGTGCACAGTTGATGCCTCTTCCAGGCTGTCCATCAACTCTCCTGCTGCCAAGACCCTGTCCTGAGCTTGGGAGTTCGGTCCCCATATCCCAGCTCCCCAACACCCATCTCAGCTGCTCCGGGGACCCCACATTCCCAGGGATGGAGATGATTCTCCAGGGGAAACAAGGGAGCGCTCCAAGAGATGCCAACTTTGGCTGGTGGGGGAAGTCCTGGTGCTCTTTTCTGGGCCTTCCCTTTCCTGCCCCTCCAGCTGCTTGGTGAGGCAGGAGGGTAGCTGTTCCTGCCCTGGGAACTTGCACTGGGGAGCTGATCCCACTGCCCTGCCCCAGCCTCAAAACCCTCTGCTCCCCACTGTGACCCACCTTGGGGTGAAGTTTGCTGATGTCATGTCTCCGCTCTGACAGATTGAAAAGCTTTGGGGAAGAGGAAAGAAAGTGTGAGGAGATGTCTTATTTCCCAATGCCACCCAACCTCTTCTTCACCCTCAAGCCTCCCCAAATACCCATTTCCCCAAACACATTAACCCCAGTAATGCCCTGCCACAGGGCACAACCATGGCCAAAAATTCCCATGGGGACTAAAAGGGGCTGGAAACCTCCAAGAAATGAAAAACCATCTGTGTCAGTGCAAAGATCCTTACTCTCCAGCTCAGTGCATCAGGATGGAGACTGACCGGAGGTGAGGATGTGGCATCCATTCCCTAACAGCATCCCAGCCCCATACTCAGGCTGTCAGGTCCTCTCACCACGTAGTTGTCCCCATGTTTGGACTTCAGCATGTGGGCCACCTCGCGGAGGTTGCTGCGGAAGCTCTGCTCCTCAGCTGTGCTGGGGTAGGAGACGGCAATGATGCGCTCTGTGATGTACACCAGGTCCAGCTCACAGCTGCTCTCCATGGCCACTGTCACACTCATGCTCCTGAGCAAGGAAGGAGACTGCCATCAGGATAAGGCATCAAGGAAGGGACATGGTGACTCTGCCCACCTGCCCACCACCGTGGTCATCTGGGTAAAGCGACACAGGCTGAGATGCTTGGGGATGCAGGTATAGGGCTACCCTAAGGCTTTCCTCCTGCTCCCAGGTAGCGCTGCCTGCAGGTCCCCATCCCCATGGTGCAGATGTTGGGCTCTACCTGGCTGTTTTGCGGTGTGCCTGCCCGCCTCTGGGGGACCTCGTGGCGTCCTAAAGAACAAGAGAGGAAAAACAAGTTACTGCCATGGCTCTGGAGCCACAGGTCACAAAGTGTGGTGATGCTTGGAGCATCCATCCCTGACACACTGTCACCAAATCACATCCAATGAAAAACCTGGTGGCACCATGTCCCCACACTGACACAAGCAGTCCCCAGTGCGCACAAACTTGGGGACATGACAATGGCAGCCCCATAACACCTGGCCATAGGACAGGGCAGGTCTGCAGCCCACAGGAGGTTCATGGGGCCAGGCACTGCCGTTTGCTTTGGCCAAGCCAAAAGCTGGGAGGAAATGTTTGAGTTCTCCAAGCAGGAAACTTCTATTTATGCATGTTCTCCAGCCTCAAGAATTTCATCTGCAGTCGGTTTGTTGGGTGACTTTGTGACCTCAGCCAAAAAACAAAGCAAGGTTTCCAAAAAAAACCACTAAGGGAAAATACACTCACACCTCATTAGTTTTAGGATCTCCTACTAATAAGGAGGAGTCCTTTAAAGACTCATCTAGCACGGGTGGTGCATTCTGATTCCTAGGAGGGATCCAAACCTCAACAACCAGTAGAGCACCATGGGGCTGCAGGAGGTGCCACTAACCCCAAAGGATGGAAGAAATGCTGCAGAGACCCCCGCCTGGAGCAGGGGCCTCAGATCCCCATCCAAACCTACCTCCCACCCTGTGTCACCTCAGCACATCCCCATGCTCCTGGCATCATCCAAAAGCCATAGGTCCTCCCTGCCTCCAGCCACTGGCACGGTGACCTCAGCCACAGGGAAGGATGCAGAAACACTGAGAAATTCCTCCAGAGAAACAAAGCAACAAAGGGGGTTCCTGACTCCTCACTGGACATTTCCAGCCCTGGTGCATGCAGAGGCGGGTGAGCAGGGGGAAGCCGTCTGCGTTGACTTTGGCAGGGCATTTGTCTACACTGTCTTAGCAATTTCATGTCCACAGATTAAAAAGCGGATCCCTAGCTCTATGGACAGGAAAGCCGGCTTTACAGCAAAAGCTTCCACTCCAAGGTCTCTACCGGGCTCTGCTACTGCCTCTGCCCATCACCTTAGGAATCAGCGCGGCCCTGGAATGGGGATCCAGCAGCACACAGGGGTCATGGGGTAAGGAGCAGGCTTTTAGCTGTGGGATAGGCACAAGTAAACCCCAGTAAGGTCTCAAGGTGAAGAGCAGTCTCTGCCACCACACGGCACTTACCGGGGTGTCCACCTGCTTGGTGATGCTCTGCCCTGGGGATGGCTGTGGGAGGGGTGAGAGTGAGGAAAAAGGAGAGAAAGAAAAGGAGAGAGAGGTTGAGAGGCACATGCACACATGCGGAGGGGCAGCTGGGGTCATAAGTTCCCCTTGGCTATTTCTGGCCCTTCCTAGGAAATGCTCCATGATGCCGCTTCCTTCCTTTCCTCCACGTGCCTGTTCTTCCTAAAAGCCAGGAATCCCTCGAAACCCAAGTACAGCGCCAGGGCAATGCAGAGCCCCACTGGGGGCCACTGCCCTCCTGTATCACCGCTGCATCCCCCATGGCAGCACCCCACTCCCATTCCATCCCATCCTCACCCCATCTGCAGCAGGGAGGTCATTTCCAAGAAAAGCAGCCCCCAGCTTCAGCTGTGCCCCAAAACCAGGGCTGTGGTGCAATGAGGTAAACAACAGTGGAGCCCCACCTCCAGGCACTGCTCCCCAAGATAAATGCAGTGCCACAGCGGGATGGCCAGGGTCCCAAGCAGGGGGTGCTCAGGGAGGAATGATTTCAGTGAGATGTCACTGGCAGACTCTGGAGAGCTCTGAGAAGAGACTGTGGAAGGGTCTCCTGACCCCAAGCATAGGGGCAGGGGACACAGTCACTGCCTAAGGATAGCCAGTCAGGTGGCACACAGGGGGATCTCAGCCCTGGGACCAGGAGACAAAGGGGGAAGCCAGGACCAGGCTGTGCCCTCCTGCTACAGTTGCTCCAAGAAGGGGGGCCACTGCCATTTCCAGCACAGACGACAGGGCAAAACCCTCTCAATTTCCTCCCAAAGCCACAGTAACGGTCACAGCTCGAAGCCAACACATTTTTGCCAGCGATAAGTGCCTGTGGCAGTGCGGGCAGAGATTAAGCCCAGGGCAGATAACCATAGTAGGGCTCATGTGCTGCCCTCATGAGCTGGCAGGAGCTGAGATGAGCACCCACTGTGCCCAGCTGGGGTCACACAGCACAGCACCCAGCACCATGCCACAGCTGCAGCCCTGTCCTGCCACCACACCCCGTGCTTCCCATATCCTGTGGGAAGGGCTCCTGTCACCCCAGCAGCTCTTCAGACCCACACACATCTGGCTGCTCACTAAATATCCCCAGGAGGGACAAAAAGAAGGGGGTGACAATAGCTGGGGATGCTCACACTTGACTTTGGGAGCCCATAGCTAAAGACACATCTGCTACAGCTATCTCCAGGCATGCAAAAAACCACCTCGCTCCAAGCCAGGAGGAGGGACACCAGAGTCTGGGATGGTCACATCCCACTGCTGTCCCTCTGACAGCCCAAGGGGAGACAGCTCACCACAGAGTCATCACTTACCAGCTCATAGTTGACAGCAGGGGAGCACGGGGTAGCAGCCTGCAAGGGAGCAGAGAGAGGCACCCATTAGTCCCTGCAGCACCAGGTACAGGAAGGGTGCAACATCCCCTGCTCAGAGCACAGAGCTGAGCATGCCCCAGCCCCGGGTGGGCAATCCCAGACCCAGGTGGACAACCCCAGATGATCATTCTCAGCCCCAGGTGGGCAGTGTAAGGCTGATGCCAGGAGCACCTGGCACAAAACCCAGCCCAGCCTTCTCTGAGTACTTCTGCAGATGCCAGCTGAACAGCTCGGCTATTGTTACCTTAATTACCAGCGGCAATTACTGGCAATTAACCTTGGGTTTTGCGTGCACCCCAGCAGCAGCATGCTGCAACGAGAGAGGCAGCGCTGGGTTGGTGGTGGTGCCCATGGGGACACAGGAACAGCATTGCAGGCTGGTGGGGGCCTGGGGATGGCAGTGGTGGCGGGAGAATGCAATTCGGGGCACCTCATCCCCTCCACCCCAAAAAGCATCTTCAGATTTGGACCTCTTACAAGTCACCCCATGCCAGGCGCTGACACGCTCAGCAATATACCACCACCGTGGTATGGAGACCTCTCACACCCCACTCAGCATCCCTGGCAGAGGACCACAAAATGGGGATTTTGCCCCCAAACACCCCACTCCCAACAGCCGTATCCCATTTCATCCCAATGGTGGAGAGCCTTAAGCCGCCAGAGCATTCCCGTCCCGCCTCTGTGTTTTGTTCAGGGGTTCCTCCTCCTCCCGCTCCCTTCCCCTGCGCATTATTATTATGATTTTATTCTAATGCAGAAACGCTTCCATAAAAGGCCCCTTTCCCTGCCCCGCGGCGCTGGCCCCACGCCAGCCTCCCTGGAATGTTCTCCGGCAGCAATGCGGCCACGGACGGGGCCGGCACAGGGCCGTGCTGCACCCCACGTCCCCCTAGGGATGCTCGCATAGGGTTCCCCCGCAGCCCAGCCCCCCAGTTCCTGAGGCCGGGGATGGGGCAGACCCCCAACTGTGTGACACTGAGGGCAGGTAGGGCACTTCCCATCCAGCCTTTGCCTTCTGCACCTGGAGGTTTTCAGCTGTAGAATGGACAAAAGTGGGGTGGCTGGGGTGGGACTCCCTTCCCTAATTCTATGATGTCTAATATAGGGTTAGCCCTTCCTTGGGACACTGAGCTCCTGATGCAGGCACACAGAAGCACCCCAGGAAGATGGAGAGAGACGTTGCAGACCACGCAGGTGACAGGGCCACCGCCATCCCCTATGTCCCCCATAGAAAGGTGGGGGGTCCCGCGCACCCCCTGGGCAGTTCTGCCTGACCGCAGCAGACACAGCCGCCTTTCTTCTCCCCGTGCCGGTGTTTGCATTCCTGCCACACAGCTCGCGCCGCCACGACCCCTCCGCCCGGCAGCCCTGCCCAGGAATGTGAGGAACGAGACACAGCGGGGTGGCTGCCCACCCTCAGCCCCCCACACCCCCCAAGTCGCAGGCCCCCCAGAGGTCCTCACCATCTCCTCCTGGGTGAAGGCTGGGCAGCAAAATGCACACAGCCCAAGCTTCCAACACAGTCCATGTGGACTCTCTAATGTCTCATATGGGGTGGCACGTGGAGCACCACCAGCTCTCTACATCCAACCATCTCCCATTGCCACACCTGCACAACTTCACACCCTCAGGATGCCACAGCCCTGTCCCCATGTCCTGCATGACCATCGGCACACACCTCCCTCCCAGAGCCTTCCTCTCCCTCCTCCTCCTCCAGGTCCTGCCGCAGCCGCAGCATCCCCACAGGTCTTCCCCCAGCGCCTCACAAACCTCCTTGGAGGGAGCAGTCTGGCTCAACATGGGGTGGGCTGGGAGGTTGCAGGGATTCCCCCTAGCCGGGCTGCAGGCACTGAGGGTGCAGCGCTGCTGCTTACAGGGCTGGGTGAGTACTGGCCCTCATCCCATCCGGCTGCCGGTGGGTCGCCCGGGCCCATCGCTGACGCATATCCCTTCCTTTGGGTGGTGGTTTTTGTTTTTCCCTTCCCCAGGAGCTCTGATAAACATCCCCAAGCCGTCCGATATCCGGGCCGGTGCTGACCCTTGCGGTGCCAGGATCACCAAGACCCGGCACGCACTGCAGGGATGAGCAAAGCCCCACACTGAGACTGTAGTGAGGATGCACCCAGAGATGCAGAGCCCATCACAGTGTGGTAGTGGGCAGGAAGATACCAAAGAGGACAGTGATTCAGTGACTCAGTGACTTGGTCACTGTCCCACAGGATGGTGCTGGGGTGGCACCGGAGGCAGCTGAGTGGAGATTCCATGTCATCCCAGCTGTCTCCTTGCACTCAGTGCCATGCGTCACCGCACGTCCCAGCTGTGCATCACCTCCCCAAGCACAAGGCTGGGTGGCTCAGTGGCGGCACTGAAAGTGACTGATGCACACAGTCACCCTCTCCATGCCACTCCTTGGTCCCACCACGTGCTCCTGTGGCCAAGCCCAGCTCTGCACCATGCGTCCCTCACAGCTCCCGCTAATCTCCTGTTTATGCAACAAGTCCCAGGCAGAAGGATGGCACACTTCCAGCTGCGCTCCCCCTGCCAGCCCCACCCTGCGTTGGGCAAAGCACTGAGCTGTCTGCACAGGGTCCCAGGACTGGGGGCAGCACCCCGGCATGGCAGCTTTGTGGGTTCCCCCCCTTTGCTGAGAGTTGGACGTGTCAGCAGCCCCGGGAGAGCTTTGGCGGCAGCTGGGGTGAGTCAGGAGCCGGGCGGACGCCGGAGCACAGAGGTCTTGCTGCTCCCAGGCTTCCCCCTGAGCATCCCCTTCCCGCTTCCGCCAGCTTCGCCATGTGTCTGACCCTGCAGCCTGGCTGCGCCCAAGTCAGGCACTCCCAGAGCAGGGTAGAGGCAATGGGCTGGGCAGCACCCCATCCTCGTGGCTGTGTTGTGCAAGAGGTACCAGTGGTTTGTGAGTCAGGAGATGTTCTCCTCCTGTCACCAGGAGCTCCTGCAGGCTTGCTGCGGGGTGAACCTCCAAGCATCCCACTGCAGTCACCCCATAACTAGAGTCCTGCTCTGCACGGGGACCCCAGCACCATCCTTCCCCTGGGGACAGCAGTGATTTCCAGCACTGCACACCGAGTCACCATGTTGCACAAGCCATCCACCCCGATGACATGTGGGTGCCTGGTTAAGCTCACACTGGGAACGTGCTCCCTGCCTTGCGCCTCAGCACCTCCTTGCTGCTGTTTCCAACAAACACCTCTGAGTGCCGGCCCCATAAACACCCTCACAGCAAAAGTCCCCGGCCTCTGGCACTGCAGCAAACTCAAGGGCACCATGTAAGGGAAGGCGAAGGGATGCTGTGCAGCCGCCCCACGGTGATAGACCCAACCGGGATGGATTCCACCCTGGTGTTCCAGCAGTGGGGTCAATGAGGATGACAGCCCCAGGGCTCCTGGTGGCATGTCACTCGTCAGGCCGGCAGCCCCAGTGCAGGGGAACTGAGTCAGGAAGGCGATGCATGGGGTAACTGCGGGGCCTCGGGCTCGGGCTGGTTTCAATTGAATCGGCAGCACCAAAATAGCCTTGATTTCAACCCAAATAAGGGCTGCTCTTGGCTCCCAGGGGTTTGAGCCATTGGCCCAGAGGTTGCAGAGGTTGGAACTGGGGAAGGGGGAGAAAGCCAGCATCCCTGGATCTGTTTGGGATGAAAAGTGGCTTTTTTGGATCAGAGTAGAGCAGAGGAACATCCACATGCCCCAGAGTGGGGCTGGTCCTGTTCTGCCTCCTCCCGTGGGTGTTGGGCTCGGCACGAGGCTGGCCACGAGCAGAGATGTGCTGTGCTCCAGCACCTAAAAAGGCAACGTTTCCAGCACTGCTCCGGCCCTGAGGCCAGCGCCTGCTCGGCTGCGTCCCCAAAGTCTGTCCCATGGCTGCTGTCCCTGCCCAGCTGTCACCCACAGGCGCTGCAACACCTGCGGGCACTGCCATTCCTGAGTGTAGGGACACCCATCACCCTGATATGGGGACCTGCTCCCAGCATGCTCCTGGCTGCTGGAGGAACCCTAAGAAGAGCAAGAATGGGGCTGGAGCCTTTGTAACAGGGTCCCCGTTGTCCCCAGCCCCATGACAGCTCTATCCAACAGGGTGAGGAGGACCCCACGTTCCCCATCTCCCCCAGATTGGCTGGAAGCAAGGTCACCCAAGGCTGGTTGGGGGCAGGGGGCTTTGTTGGGATTGGGCTGTGCATGGGTTCTCATGTGGGACTGGCCAACAGATGGATTTCTACAGTCAGTACAGAGATTCCCACATGGGATTGGTCAATTTATGAACTTTCCTATGGGATTGGTCAGATTCCTAATATTCACACAGGACTGACTAGAGCAAGGATCCCACTGCAGGATCAGTCCCAGCATGGATCCTCACATGGGTCCGGCCAGCATCTGGATCCCCAAGCGGGTTGAGTGAGAGCCCTGCATTACCCTGCACCGTGTTGGCAGAGATCTCAATCCCACTGCAGGCTGAGGGCTACCCCATACTGCCAGTCCCCAAAACTATGCCCTCCTTTGGCACCCACAGCCCCCAGCAGGTGACACTGGAGCTGAGCAGTGCAGATGGGCACAGGGGACAGCTGCCACGAGCACAGGGTGCCACAGGGACATGGTGCACCAGGTTGGCACAGCAAAAGCAGGAGGACAACACTATGTAAACCCCTCAGCTCTGCTCCAGTAGCCCCCAAACCAAGTCAGGGCACAAAAAGAGCTGCCAGCACTCAGCTTGTTGTGGGGCAACCCCAGGTGAGGCTCTGGACCCCAAAAACGTGTAACAGAGGTGACTGCAGCACTGAGGAGTGGGGCAGCGGGCCAGCAGCCCCATGGAGCATCACGGCCAGCCCTGCCTTTCCTGGAGTGGGGGCCAGCAGCGAACACTAACAGAGTCCTCAGCGTCCTTGTCATGAGGCTCCAGAGCCGGGACTTTTGGGGCTCATTTCCCCTGCTGCAGGCACAGTGCATGGGATGCACGGGAACTGCTGGCACTCAGCACACTCTGCAAGGACCCAGAGGGGGGGACGCAGCCACCACCCCCCACCCATGCCAACTCCGTCCCCGCTGCCCCAACCCACTGGCACCCGGCCCGCAGTGGGACCGACCCCGCTGCCCCCCGCTCGGCTGTCGGAGGCGGAGCAGTTCTCTTTTTGTTGTTTTCCCCTTAAAAACAAAACGGCTGATGCTTCGCTCGGGCCGTTTCCTCTCCCAGGAACACAGCCCAAAAACATCTGCGCCGGGACCTGCCCTGACGAATTTAACCCTCTGCGGGCCCGGCAGCATTGGGGCGAAGGAGCCGTGGCCGCTGTGCCCCCCCCAACCCCCCCCCTCGGCCCCTCACCACTCATTAACTCGTGGTTTAACCATTGACGGTCCCGCAGGAGGAGCGGAGGAGGTGTTAACCCCTACGCTGCCACCAAGGAGGGGCTGTGCGGGGACACGTCCGCGGGGCGGGGTAGGGCTGCTCGGGAAGGACCCCCCCGCAGGATTTCCCGGCGCTGCGAACCATCCCTGACCCCCTCCCCAAATCCCCCTCCGAGGCCGCCACGCCCTGCCGGACCCCCTCCAGCAGGGAACCGACCCACCGCGGCGTCCCCAAACAGAGCGGGCGGGGGGCGGCCACGCAGCGCACGGATGTCACGCGTGGGACCCCTCCTCTCTCCCCTAGCAGGACAGGGGGGGTGCAAGGGATCCCCGCGCCGTGGCCGTACCTGGTTCATGACGCTTCCGAAATCCATCCGGGGTCTCTCGTGCCTACATCCGAAGGGGCCGGCAGCGCTGCCTCACCTGGCCGAGAGGCGCGGGGGGCGGCCGGGAGGCTGCCGGGGCGGGGGGGTCGGGGGCAGGAGGGAGCCCGGCGTCGGCAGGCGTGAAGGCGGACTGCAGGCTGAGCCCCCCTCCCGCCCCGGGACAAGCCCGGAGAAGGAAGGAAGGAAGGAGGGAGGGAGGAGGGAGGGGAGGGAAAGGAGAGGGGAGGGGGGGGAGAGAGTCGAAGGGTTTCGCTCCCCGCAGGCGGGACCCCGGCGATGGAGGGGTCCCCGCAGCCCCCCTCGCCCCTCCGCACCCCCAAGGCCGCCGGCTGCCGGGAGGTGCAGTGGACCGGCCCCGGCCTTGGGGGAGGGAGGGGGGTCCCGGGTGGCTTTTTTCCACCGCTCCCCTCCCTCCTCTCTTTTCTCCCTCTTTCTTCTCTTCCCTCTCTCCGGCGCGCTCCTAGTCGGACGCGCACACGCCCAGCCCCGCTTTCCTCGCCTCCCCCGAAAACGCCCTTAAAGGCAACCGGGAGCCGCCCCCCCCCCCCCAGCGCCCCGAGCCCCGAAATGCGGAGCGCACCCCCCGGGCAGCGCAGCCGGGAGGCCCCGGGCGGCGGGGTCGGGCCCTTATCGCCCCGCGTGACGCCGCGGCGTCCCTGTGCCCTTGGCGGGGGGGTGGCAGGGGCACGGGCGTGGGGCCCGGCTCGGGGCCTCTGTGCTTGGCCCCCCCTGTCAGGAGGCGGTTCGCTAAGTCCAAGGAGAGCGCCCCAAAAGTGGCCCTTGGGTACCCTCCTCGGTGCCGAAGGGGGGTGAAGGTTTACCACTCCTCCTCTATGGAAAGCAAAGTGATGGAGAAGCCGTGCACCGTGGGGGTGCCCTGCGGCCCCACATCACGCCCCGCTGCCCCCACTCCTCCTCTCCCACCCCAAGCCCCAGCTCAACCATGCGAATAGGCATGCGGGCACTGAGGACCATGGCACAGCCTTCCCTGCAGTGTCCCACAGAAAGGCAAACAGGCCAGGGGGGCTGTGAGCCAGCCACTGGGCCCAGCACTGTTGACATTTTCTCACCCAACACCTCCCTGTTCCTGTTTGCATTTCCGTTCTGGTGCTATAGGCTCAGCCAGAACACCAGTGCTGGCCCTGACTGCAGCCAGGACACGGAGTGGCAGCAAGGGGCTCCCCCTGCCTCCCTCTCTCCGGGGTGGGAGTGATCTCCAGAGCTTCACATCAGCCAGAGCATCCCATGGATTGCACCTCCTGTGCCAGCACGGCCAGGAAGTGCCTACATCCCATCCCACTGCAACCAGGGAGAGTGTCACTTGCATATGGAGAAACTGAGGCAGAGAGCAGCTGTGCAACCACAGGGATTTCCACCTGCCTCTGTAGGATGAATCTCCACAGCAAGTACATTCTGCCTGACCCAACCTGCGCTCAGCCCTCCTGTGCCTTATTTTCCCCTGGAAGCATTTGAAGGGAGTAGCAAGAGGTTTTAATGGGGGCAGTTCTCCCCTGAGCATCTCCTGCCACATCCACAGCAGCATCTGGGCGTGGACAGATGGAGTTAGGGTGCTGAGGGTTTTGCAGGGAGAAGAAGTGGAGACAGAGGAGCAATTAATGCCCTGAGCTAGAAGTGAGCCATAGGGCCCAGCTCAGCTACGGCAGAAATCTCAGCTCTGGCACAATCCCAGCACCCAGGACATGGCCCCAGGACAGCTCCCATTAGAACCAGAGCCAGGTGGTAAAGCATTAGCATCCCAGCAGGATGACTGGGTGAGCAGTGCACTGACAGCACATCCCTGTCCCCAGCCTGCGGGAGCTGTCCCTGAGGAGGAACGGAGCTGTCCCTCGGGGAGGTGACGTCACAGGACACAGCCACTGAAATCTATAAATTGTCCCTGAACTCCATCCTCAGCCAAACACCAAATGCATCCCAGAGCCATCTCAGGGTGGTGGAAGCAGGTTCAGTGCTCAGCCCTGTGTCAATCCTCAAAGACCCCCAGCGCCCCCAGATCTTGCCAGTAACCTCCACCCAAAAACAACTCCTCCACATCCCAAAGCGAGCACCCAGCCTGGGAGAGCATCTTCACCCCTGGTGCTAGCAGAAGAAGGGGACAAGGTGACGAAGAGCCAGGGGAGAGGCTCCCCATGCCCCACACCCCGCTGCTCACTTGTGCAATGATTGTGGGCAGGCTCAGCATCCCCACTCCCTTTCCCCTCCCATAGGGTACAAGAAGGGCCCCAGCTCCTCCAGCAGCAGATCTGACCCCCCCGGAGCTGAGACAGAGGCTGAATATTTTGGTGGTGACGTCAAGAAGGGGAAAAAGGAAACAGCAATGAAAAAAAAAAACACCCGATCCCCTCCTGGACCCACTGCAGCACCACGACTGGGAGCAGTGCTGCCCCACTTAGCCCCCCATCCCACACCCTGACTGGGCCCATGCCAGGGCCAAGAACACATTGCTGCCTTATTCTTTCTCCCTGCTCTGTTGTGCAGACCTAGAGGTGTTGCAAATTACCTGTCCCAAAGGCAGGATAGCTTTGAATGGGGGCACTAGGGACAGGGATGAGTGCAATGGACACATCCGTGCAGCACAGAAGCAGCAAGGCGCAGAGGCTGGGGAATGGACAGCCTGTCCCACAGCACGACTTGGACACTGCTGTCCCTTCCCCGTGTCCTCCCTACCTGTCCATGACACCAGACCCAGACATATCCCATACATCGCAGCTTACCCATCACCCCACATCCAGCCCACCATATCCCCCCTCCCAAAGCCAAGGACCTGGTCCCCATGAGAGGGAACAATAGGTGCCGCAGGCACTGGAAGCTACAGCTGTGGCCATGACGCGCCTCGCTGCCCGGCCCTGGCCCTGCTCCAGCACCCAGTTTAATGATGGACAAACCCCCCTCCAAGCCCCTGCAGGGGGTACGTGAAAAACAAGTTGGGTTTGGAGAGCGGCCAGTGGAGAAAGATCAACCCAATGCACCGCCGTGCAATGTGCACACGCACATGAGATGTTCTTGTACAGATGTTTTTGCACACACAGGGACGAGGATGGGACCCAAGGGATCTCACGTGGCCAGGCTGGGCTCTGTGATTCAGTTCCCCCACTTTTAAAGGAAGCTGCAGCTCTGGGTAGGGGGCTTCAGTGCAGGGAGGGATGGCAGAGGTGGACTGTGGGGTTCAAATGCACGTCAGTGTCCTGCCGTCTGTCCCCTCAGAGGGAGGGGGGAAGGTTTGCTAAGCAAGGAAAAATCCCCGAGTGGAGGGGCCGGGTGCAAGAAGGGCCTTACATGGGCATGGGAACGGCTTCGTGCTTCCCAGATGATGTCTGTGCGTCTGCCCCGGCCCCCCCAGTGCCACCCACAGGCTGCGGGCACCCTGCCAGCCCTGCCTGCCACCACTGTCCCCATGGCCACTCCAGGGTCCCCAGCACACTCCCCCCTTCCCACTGTACCCTGTCCACGTGGAGTTTTTAGCTGAATGGGGTCAAAAGGGGGGCAGCAGGAGAGGTAAGGGCAGGTCCCCCCAAAATAACTTGTGGAGTAGCCACAACAATATTGGGGGGTTCCAGAGATAGCAGCAGACAGGGGTGCCGCAGATTCAGCAGCATCTCCAGGGCAGGAGGAGGAAGCACTGAGGCACAAAGTACCATACATCCTGGGGTAGTCTCATTCCCCAATTCTGGGGGCTCAGGGGTTAAATGTGAGGTGCTTCAGGTGGACGTGAGGCTGTTTTCTCATTGTGCCAAGCCCCCTCCCCACACATGCCCTCCCTGGAGACCCTACAATAACAAGCGGTGTGAGTCAGCTGGCTGCTCGCCTGGCCCAAGGAGCCCCTCCCTGGGCACTGACCCAGCAGAGCTTCACAGAAGGCCTCAGCTCCATGCATGCACCCCCCCCAGCAGCACCGCATGGAGGTTCTCCAGCCTCCAGCAAGAACAGGAAGGGTGACGGAGGCTCACAAACTGCAGCCAGCCACAGGCTTCCCTTACGCACAGAACCAGCACCTTGGGTGCAATGCCCTACTGGTACACAACCCCATATCAGCCACATGAGAATCATCATCAGACATACACGTAGGTGACACAAGTGCCACTCCGATCAGACACCAATGTGAGCACCCACCCAGTGGGGATATGGACCCCAGTACTCCCCCAGACATCCATAGCCCTCCCATGCAAAGTGGGGCATCCCACGAGGTGCCAGCCTTACCTTGCTTTGGCACTTGGTGTGGCAGGACAGCTTGCAGCCTGCAGGAGGGGAGAAGGGGTCAGTGGGGACATGGCCACGGGGCTGCTCACGGGGAATGGACAAGGTGGCACCCACGTGGGGACACAGGCAGCAACAGTACTGGGCAGAGCACAGAGATGCACACTGGGGGTGCACAGATGCACACGCCTTGCACATGTGCACACACACAGCCAGATGCATGAACACCACATGCGTGATCCATCCACCCACAATGACAGTGTGCCAAAGGCACTGTGCCTCTGCTCAGAGATTAATAGTATAAATGCATGCAAACACAGCTTGCGATGTCTTGCACATGCACACGTGTGCACACAGCTGTGTGCAGCTGTGCACATGCATAGTGGGGCTGTATGGGATGCTGACCCACCGGCAACACCAGGCGCTCCCCAGCGTGCCATCCCAAAGGGACACAAGGGTCCCTGTGCAGCATGCCCCATGGCCACACTGCCCCCCCTCCCTGAGGCCCCATCCCCCCCGGGATCATTTCCTGCAGTGCAGGGAACACAGGAAGCCGCATTGTTCCCGAGACCTGGAACGTTTCCTCCCACCACCCCTCGCACGGGGCTCAGCACCGCCACACACGTGCGAGGGGACACGTCACCGCGTGTGCTACTGGGGCCTCGAGGGGGACAGGGCCACGAGCACGAGCAGGGGTGTGAGCATCCACACACGTGATCCTGGATCAACACCACTGCACGCTCCATGCACACTTGTCTCACTCACAACCGCATGCAGAAGCGTGCAAAAGCATCGCTGCACCCTCCCGCTCACACGCACTCCCGTCCCCTCACCTCGGCAGGTGCTGCCCTGGCGCGTGATGGCCTGCCGGCAGATCCCGCATGCCTTCACCTTCTTGAAGCTCGTCATCTTGAAGGCGTGCGCCGGAGGGGACTCCAGGTCCTGGGGCTGCAGGACACGGGAACAAATCAGCACCCCTATCCTTTGTCCCGCCCTATGCCGAGCTCTGCTCTGCTCGCTTTCCCTCTGGGCTGGGGTCTGCCTCCATCTGCTCTCACCTTCCCCCCCCTCGGGGTAACCCCCACCTTGTACCCGGCCACACGGCGAGGGGTGCCAACTACCACCCCCGGAGCCGCGGCCCCTTTAAATAGTCTCTGCCGCCCCCTGGCGGTGTGCCGAACACTTGTGTGTGCGTGCACACGCGTGTGCACACACACGGGCACGCCCACATGCACACATGTCCACAATTGGTATTGTGGGTGCATTGCACGCAGATGTGCGTATATACTTACATGTGTGCACATACGTGTGCGTTGGTATGTCCCTGCATGCTGCAGTGTGTGTGCATATCTGTGCTCCTGGGGGTGTGTGCAAGCACACGAGTGCATGCCTGCAGGTCTGCTCACGTGTATGAGCACACCTGAATGCATCAAGAAGCTTGTGCAAACTGGTGTGCAAGCACAGTGAGCGTGCACATACAAACGTGTGCACATGTGCATACACATGCATTTGCATTTTTGTCAATGTGCAGTGTGTGTGCACACGCACACCCAAGCATGCACACATACCATCGGTGTGCATGCAGGGGGTACCATGGTGTAAAGCTGTGCTGCAGATGTGTGCTGGGCAGGGACATGGTGGGGGAGGGGGGTGGCACATTTTGGAAAGTGCCCCCATGGCCACACTGCCCACTATAGCCCACGGGAGTCGTGAGTGTGGGTATGGGGACAGCAGGACACGGGGACAGCAGGAAACAAGGATGCTGGTACGACCATGGGATGCCAGATAGAGAGGAAAGCCCAGACTGGGGGAGGGGACATCCATGGCAGTGCGCCAGCCATGCCCACCCACTCACCGTCCGATGAAGATGTGAGAGCCACAAATACGCCTTTTCACGCCAGGACTAATAGGATTAAGCAGAGGCCCCGCAACCCCCCACTCCCTCCGGGCCAGCACTGCAGGGAACACCCAAGTGTGGGTACCACCCCCTCCTGCCCCAGTTTCCCCAATACGCACACGGGGACACAAGGTGGGGGCACAAAGGCCGTGCACATGTGTGTGAGTGCACCATGTGCGCATTCTATGGACATCCTCCCTAGCAGCCAAATCCCCCCATGGCTGCCCAAGCCCCTGAGCTCCGTGCCCCCCCAGCCGGGGCTCCCACGCCACAGTTGCTGGGTGACAGTGAGGCCTCCCGATGCCATGAGCTCGTTTGCATATGCAAAGCGGCTGCCCCCCTGCTGCAGGGTGCCCCGGGAAGAGGCAGTGCCCCCCGCTCCCAGGGACCCCCCGGGGATGCCAATGTGTATCCCGCATGCACATCCCCACCTCAGCCCCTGCTCTGCTTTGTTAACGGTAATTATCCTCATTAGAGAAAGCGCAGCCCCCTCTGTTCCCAGCCCATGGAGACCCCCTCCATTTGTCACATTGCCAAAATGCCGGTGGGGGTGTCCCCAACCCATAGAACATACGGGATCCGGCCCCTAGCTGGCAGGATCTGAGCATCATCCCTGTCCCCAGGGCTGGGAGGCACTTATGGGGGGTGAGGACCGTCTGGGGATGTCACCTTGAGACCCATATCACCAAATAGGCAGGATGGTGCGGGGGTGGGGAGAGGAGGGGTGACGGAACAGACAGACCTACCCACGGCCCCCCCAAGCAGAGGGACCCAGGGATGCTGGGAGGGGCCCCATGGGCTGGATGAGGCCCCGGGGAGAGGTGCCAGCTGCATGGACGCCTGGGTTCACTGCCCAGCACTGCAGAGAGGTGCGGGCCGGAGGGGGGGCTGCCTCCCCCCCGGGGGACCGGGGCACCCGCCTGCTCCATCCGCTTCTGCTGGGGCTGCAAAGCCGGGCTGGTGGGGGGGGGGGGGGAAGGGCACCAGGGTCCCAACCCGGAGCATGGGGGACACCGGAGCACAAACGGCCCGGAGGCTGGGGGCTCAGAGCCGCAAGCCCCTAGCACTCCCCGGCAGCTCCCAGTCTGCCCGGTTCCCCGCCTCCCAGTGCCGAGGGACAGCGGACTGCGAGGACCGCAATGGGATCCCGGATGGTCGTAACGGGGAAACAGCCCCCAGTCCCAACAACCCCCCCTCGGAGACCCCTCCTCATCCAGCCCAGCGTCCTTCGCTCCCCCCGCCCGCTCCCCACCGCCACGCAGTCCCGGGCTGTTCCACCCCCCCTCCCAGCCCCAGCCGTTCACCGGATGCCCCCACCCCCGGGCCCCCCCACCGATTGCGGGGGAGGGGGGTCCCAGTGCCAGCGCAGCGCTCTGTCCCGCTTTTCCCGACCCGTTCCCGCTCCACCACCGCCGCTGCTCCCCGCCCCCCCCCTCCCCGCGACAGTACTCCCCACCCCGCGCCCCGGTCCCGAAGCCGTACCCAGAGCAGGCAGGAGAGGCACAGCCCGGTCATGCTGCCCCGCAGCCCCGCCGCACCGCCCGCAGCCGTCCCGCTCGCTCCGCCCGCCCGGCCCGCCCCCGACCCCCCCAACCCCGGCCCCAAACCCCCCCCGGCCCCCATATAGCTGGGGGACAAAAAGGGGGCAGCGCCCTCCCGCAGCAACCCCCCCGCAGCACCCACCGCTGAGCCCTGGGGGGGGCTGGCAGCGAGACCCCCACTCCCCCTTCCCAAAAGGCTGCGGTGGCGGCGGAGTGGGGGTGTGCGGGGGACGATTGTCCCCTGGGTGGTCCCGGGATGGGAGAGCCGAGGAGGGAGCAGCGCTGTGCCAAAGCTCCGCCGAGCCGGGGGCCTCGCAGGGGGGGCAGGACGGGAAACGGCTGGGCAGCCCCTCAGCTCTATAGGGTGGGATTGGGGTGCTGAGCGGCACCTCCCCGCAGCCACGGGGGGAGGAGGCCGGCGGTGAGTCCCGCAGCCTTGCGCTCAGGCGGGTGGCAGCACGGGGGGGTGAGTCAGGACGGCAAGGGACACGGAGGGCAAGGGATGGAGACAGCGGGGAGCGCCCGTCCGTACACACATCTTCCCACACCCCCCTCCTTCGCTACAGCCTCTCGTTGTTGCCCGCAAATGAAAGCCCCCGGGGAAAACGGGGTCCCCGCCCCCCATAAATCACGGCGTCCCATTCAGCGCCGGGATGAGCCTGGGATCTGCATAAGGGCAGGGACAGGGGCATGCAGCGAGGACGGGGGGGGGGCAGGAGGGGCATGGGGACACTGCCTGTCAGCGTGATTTAGGGTTCATTTTCCTAGCGGGGGTGCACTACACAGAGAGTCCCCCCGTGGGTACCAGTGAGGCAGGCACACACCCCATGCTCACACCCCCCTCCACGCATAAGGGCAGCATAAGGGTGTCATTGGTGGGGTCCTGCCCACGGCCACTGTGTCCCCAAGCCACCCCCACCTGCTTCCAGCAGCAATGCCCCCCACTGCCCTTGGGTACCCATCCTGCACACACATAGGTGTATGCCACGTGTCCTATGCATGCCCACATAGGCATCCCACACCAACAAGCTCATATACACACTCCATGAAGGGACACAGAAGGATAACACAGCAATGGGGACAGGGTGCTGTGTGGGCACAGGTGTCCCCCACACTGGGTGATGGTGGGGACATGGATGCCCCACATAGGGTGATCTTTTGGCACAGGGATTCTGCACGCATTGGGTGCCCTCAGGCACAGGGCACTTTGCTGAGGACAGGGATGCTGAGAACACCTGGCATTGAATGGGAATGGGGACCCCCCCGGTACCGGTTGCTTCATAGGTTCTCCTCACAGCGTGCACGAGGTTCCCCCATTCTAGATGCTGTAAGGACAGAGGGATCCCAGAGCTCACGCCAGGCACTGCAGGAGCACAGGGATGCAGGTTATAGAGTGGGGGGGGGTCACAGTGCTGTGCCAGGAGAGACACAAGGAGAGACAAAGGACATGCCCCCAGCCCCTGGGGGGCACACACACACACATAGACATGGTTTAACCCCTTGATGTCCACAGCCAGCTCCCCTCCTCTCCCTCCCGCCACCCCATCTCTGTGCACCCCCAGAGCCCTCCCCAGCTCCATGCTCCCCCTGCAGCCCCCACCCCGACCCGGGGCACCGTGCACTCGTGGCACCACTTACCTCAGTGTGCCGGCAGGCGCGGCAGGGCAGGAGGCAGGATACCAGGTATTTCCCCCAGCGAACCAAGGTGGCAAAGCACCAGCTCAGGCGGGTCATGGTGCCCCTGCGCGGGGGTCACCCAGCCCACGAGGGGGCACTGATGGCAGCGGGGAGCCAGCCAAACCCGGCTGTGCCCCCCGGCTGTGCCGGGCTGCGGTGCCCTGGAGGTGCCCACGAGGTGCCCAGCAATAGGCACGGGGCTGTGCGGCAATGGGCTGGGGGCTGCGGTCCCACCAGGCCCTGCCCCCCCCTCCCCTCTGGTCCCCCAGTGTCGCCTGCGCGCTGGCAGCCAGGCAGGGAGCACCGTGCCCGCCCATGTCCTGCAGTGCTTGGGAGAGAGCCAGCTCCGCCACGTTCCCCCTCCTTCTCCTCCTCCTCCTCCTCCTCCTCCGCGTCCCCCCCCCCTCACGTCTGTATTAACCCCCCCTCCCCACTTCGTGGTTTTGTCAGCCCCTCTGCACGCACCGGGTCCTTCTATGGGGTGGGTGCTGGATGCTGGCAGTGCTCCCCCAGCCCCTTGTCTTGTAGATGTGTGAGAGCTGTGAAGCTTTTTGAGCACAGCCTCCTCTGTGCACTCAGCTCTGCCTCAATTTCCCTATGGCTCTCCCCAAGCCACAGGAGGGGAGGTTCCTGCCATCATTCAGGCCCCCCTGGCCCCAAGACCCCCAAACCCCGTTGCAGGGGCAGATGGGAAGGGACTTGGGGAGTCCTTTATGTGCCCCAGGGTGGGCAGAGGGATGATGTCGGGAGCGGAGGGGACCAGGGCGCAGCCCCATGCCCCAAGCAGCAGGAAAGTGACATCACCACTGGCTGCACTGTCCCCCACTCCCATTTAATTAATTAGCAGATGGCCCCCGAACCCCCCCGCTGTGCAGAGCCAGGCCTGTGCGGGGCCATTAGCGTTATTGGCTGCGCTGAGCACGGGCCAGGCCTCGTTAATTGAATTGCACCCGCGCCAAGGGCGGGCGGGTAATGTGTGCCCCCCCCCCACGGCCCACCAGCACACCCCCTCAGGGACACGGCTACTGGGTGGCAATCCAGGAGAAGAGGAGCTGGGGATGGGATGCTGGGGGGGGACCACGGCACACACGTGTGCATCCATACACACAGCACTTGACCCCCCCACAGTAGGGTGCAACCTTGCTGCAGGGTGATGTGGGGTGATGGGGACAAGGGGGCACTGCCCTGTGCTGGGGGGCACCTCACATCCTGACACTCATCAAAAAAGCGGCCAGCCCCCACTCAGCACCACTTCCTGCTTTCACTTTGGTAGCGAGCTCAGGCCCTGGATGGGGGTGGTGGTTCTCCCGGCCCCCCCCGGCATTAAAGGTAGGGTTATGGGGTGCTGGGGCAGGGGGCAGGATGTAGGGGGGCTGTGGGCCTTCTTTGGAGCGCTGCTTCTCCCAAGGGGGCTCTGTAACCAAGGGATGTTGTTCCTGGGGGCTTTTGTGTGGGGGGGTTATTTTGCCAAGGGACGTGGCAGCTCTTGTGGCTGCCGTGAACTCAGCATGGTTCCTCAGCCCCCTCCCCAGAAGCTGAAAGGTGACACTCAAAGCATTCGCAAACCACGTGCCCCCCCCCCCCTGCCATGGGAAGGATTGGGGTCCCTCCAGGCCTGGCAATGTGCTTTCCCCACTCCAGAACACCAGGCAGGAGGGGCTGGTAGGGGAAGCACCCACCAACTCAGCACCCCTAAACCTGGGAGCTGGGGCAGGTGGGGCAGAGATGTGGGGCTGTGTGGGGCATGGGGGGGACTCAGCCGCTCCCATCCTGAGCACTTCCTCCTGGACAAGGTACAAAAGGAGAAGGAGTGCGGGCGTGGGGAGCAGTGAGAGGAGAGCAGCACCCAGCAGCACCTCAGGGCACCCACAGCTCTCCAGGTAAGGGGCAGCTCTGCCCAGGGAGAACTGAGGCATGGGCATGGCCATGGGCATAGGCATAGGCATAGGCATAGGCATAGGCATAGGCATAGGCATAGGCATAGGCATAGGCATAGGCATGGGCAGGGCAGGCGGAAGGGAACACACATCCAAGGGCACCCAAGGGCACTGGGACGGGAAGCCAGGCGTCCTGCTGTTCCTCCCTGCCATGGCCAGCCACCACCTGTAGTGACTAGCCCTACAGATGTGCTACCCCCACAGGCACTGCCCTTCATCCTGTCCCCTTGGTGCCACCCCCCAGCTCTGTGCCCCCCACACCAAGTCTACCACACTCCCAAATGCCATGCCATGCCATGCCAGCCCTGCAGGCAGCATACTGTGCCAGGGGGACTCTGCCCAGCGGGGGACTGGTTTTGAGGGTCTGTATGCTGTGGGCCTGTGCCCTCTCCTCCCGACAAGGAAGGGGGAATCAGGGGTCCCATGCACTGATCATGAGGTGAGCAAGGGAAGTGAGAGCAGAAACAAAAGCAGTGCTTCCCCCATGCCATACCCACATCCTGAATCCTAGGGGAAGGGGTTGGGAACAGGAATGGGGACAGGGTGGGGGGCTCAGTCCCTGTAGCATCTGAGGAATGGGGCAGAGGCTTAGAATGAGCTGGGCATGCCATGGGGCAGAGCCCACAGGCATTTTGGATCAAGGCACATGGACAGCCAATGGGCACATGGTGGAGCACCTTCGCCCATTCAATGCCCCACGTGAAGGGGGTGGCATGGGCAGGGAAGGGTGTGCCTGAGTCTACCCCTCTTCTTACCTTAGCAGAAAGCAGCCCCAGTGTAGAGCCAGGGGAGTGAAAGTCTCCATCAGTGGGGCAGTGGGAGGCCAAGCTGGAATTTGGGGATGCAGCAGTGCAAGCCAGCTCAGCGCCTCTCATGGGTGTCCCTGCCTTTGCAGAGGTCCAGAGCTGGAGCCATGGCAGGGGACGGGGAGCTCAGACGCGTCATTAAGGACCTGCAGAGTAAGCGTGCCAGCATGTCCCGTGCCAGCATGTCCCCACGGGCACCCTCAAATCATCCCGCAGCCACTGCTGTCTGTGCCCCTCGCTCCCACCGCTCCGCCTCTCCATCCCTCTGCCGGTTCCTCTTTCGCCCTCGGGCAGAAATCCCCGAGCTGGGAGCCGGGAGGATGTGTGGCTGGGCAGGCTGCCCAAGCCGTGCCAGTTCATCCCTGTTGCCCTGCAGAGACCATTGCTGAGCTGAACCGTAGCTACAGGGAGCAGAACCTGCCGGTGACGGATGGCAGTCGGGAGCTGCACAGCCTCTGTGCCCAGCTGGAGTTCCTCCTGCAGGTACTCCCCTCCCTGGGGGGCACTGGTAGTAGAGGGTCCTCATGCCAAGCATTCTGGGGAACCCTGGATGATGTCATCTGTTCGTGGGCATCCCCAGCCATACAGGTGTGTGGGCACAAGGATTGGCCCCGCCTGCACCCATATGTGGAGCATTTTTTGTTGTGTGTGCAACAAAAGGGGAAACTGAGGCACAAAGCCAGCAAATAGAGCTGTTCCCAAACATGTGGGGTTCAACTGGGGAAGCCAGCTGAGTACCACAGAGTCAGGCTGGGCAGCACAGGGACCCTCCTAGCAAGCCCGTGTCTCTTCCAGTTTGACCTCAAGGAGAAGAAGAGCTTCTTTGGGCAGCGCAAGGACTACTGGGATTTCTTGTGCCAGGGCCTGGCGCAGCGTCGGCAGGAGCACGAAGGCATCCGCTTCGTCATCTCGCTGGACAAGGTGGGCATGGGCCAGCGGAGGGGGCTCACGGGGCACCCACTGGGTGGGCATGGTCACAGACGCAGGACACACGGTGCACGGGCTATGCTGGGGGTGCAGGTTGGCATGGCAGTGCTGCATCACCCCTGCTCCCCTTTAGCTGAAGACCCCTGTGGGCAGGGGCCGTGCCTTCCTGCGCTACTGCCTGGTGCACCGGCAGCTGGCTGAGTCCCTGCAGCTCTGCCTGATCGACCCCGAGAGCCTCAGGTGAGAGCATGGGGAGCACAGGGGTGGCTGTGCCACTACAAGGCATGGCTCACTGCTCTGTGTGCTCGAAAAGGGTGTGTGAGATTCTGTTTTGGTTGCAGTGAGTGGTACTATGCCCGCAGCCCCTTCCTGAGCCCCCAGCGGCGGGCTGAGATACTGGGCAGCCTGTATGAGCTGGATGGCATCACCTTCCACCTGGCCCTGCACAGGGCTGACCTGGACACCGCCTGGCCCATGTTCTCTGAGTGAGTCCTGGGCACATGAGGGAATGCCGGAGAGAATGGGGACACCTGGGGCTCAACATTACTGCCTCGGTGGCCCTGAGCCCCATGTCCCCTCTAGGACGCTGGTGCGGCCCAGTGTGGTGAAGATGACCCTGCAAACAGAAGGTAGCAGCACAGGGGTACATGGATGTCCTGATGGCATCACCCAGCCAGTTGCAGTGCCCCACAGGGTGCCAGGCTGTCCCAGCCCACAGGCAGGGGGTGAGGAGGGGGATGATGTGGAAGCAGAAGAGAATGGAGAGGAAGACATGGAGGACGATGAAAAGGAGGAGGACATGCCCAGCACTGCCGAGGCACAGTGTAGCACCAATGCAGATCCCAACGTGACCCCAACACCCGACCCGGGGATCACTCCTGGCTCCCCAGCTTATAGTGGGATGGAGGCATCCCTGCGAGCACAGGTGTCCCAGCTGCGTGCCGAGCTGGGACGACAGGAGGAGGCCTGGCGTGCCCAGCTGGAACGGGAGGAGCGGCAGCACCGGCAGAAAGAGGAGCGCAGTGCCCGGCAGGTCCGGCTGTGGGCCCACGAGGCCGAGGCACTGCGGGACACCAACGCCTTCCTCAGCCGAACTCTGGCCGAGGCGGCGGGTGGCCCAGGGGGGCTGGCACAGGCTCAGGAAGAGGCTCGGCGGTGGCGGGAGGTGGCGGAGGAGCGGGCAGCACAACTGGACGAGGCAATGGCAGAGGTGGCGGTGCTGACCTCGCGCCTGCAGGAGTGCCAGGCTGCGATGCAGGCACGGGGACAGACAGACGCCCCAGCGCAGATGGCCGCCCTGGAGGAGGTGCTGCGGCGGGCACTGGAGCTCTCCCGTGACCCACTGATGGACAATCAGGAAGAGGGGGACCCCAGCACGGCTGCTGGCATGGCAATGGTACGGGCAAGCCATGGGGTGCCCCACTGTGGGATGTGGGTCTAAAAGGCCTGAGCCCTGCTTATCCCCCAGCACCTCGCGACCCTGGTCACAGCAACACAGGAGGAAGCCTTGCAGAGCAGGCAGCAGATCCAGGCCCTGCGGGAGGAGGTGGTGCGGCTGCAGGAGCAGCTCAGCAGGTGGGGAGGGGACAAACTGCAGGGTGCCCTACATGCTGCAGGGGTCACCCCTTGGTGCCCCACTTTGATCCAGGGGATGGGCAGGGAGGGAGAGATGTGGAGAGGGAGAGGTGGAGTTGGGAAGGGAAGCAGGTAGAAGTTTGGAGATTGATGAGTAGGTGGAAGGATGGAAGCATCAGTGGGGAGAGTGATGGGGGAATTAATCTGGGGTGAGCAGATGGAGGGAGAAATGGGGTGATTTGGGGTGATTGGATGGGTGAGCAGAGGGATGAAGGGATGAAGATTGGGTGAGCAGATGGAGAGGAGGATGGATGGATGGATGGATGGATGGATGGATGGATGGATGGATGGATGGATGAAGGGATGGATGGATAGATGGATGGGCAGAATGACAAAGGGATGGCTTTGGGGAAGGATGGATGGACAGCTAGGGTGGATGTTAAGATGGCTGTGAGGATGGAGAGCTGGATGGCTTTAGGAATGGATGGAGAGGTGGCCAGAGGGACAGGCAGACCTTCTCCCCACTGCCACCCTGGGGCTGGGCTCAAAGGTGCCACACCTGCCCCAATGCCAGGGCTCGTCAGGACGGGGAGCGCTGGGCATCAGCCCTGCAGCGGACGCAGCGGGAGGTGCAGGAGCGGGAGGCCATGCGTGGCGCAGAGCAGGCACGGCAGCAGGAGCTCATCCGCGACATGAAGGGGCGGCTGCTGGAACTGCTGCGGTGAGAGCAGGGCCCTGCCCCCTCACCTGCCCTCTGTACACATCCTGCCACCCCCTCCAGTGGGTGTGCAGCCACACACACTCGATTGCTCCCAAAGCTCTTTGCCCAGAGGAGGGCACCAGAGCCCAGGGAAATCCCACTTGCCACCTTGGGGAGGCTCGGTGCCCAACTTAGGTGCCAACCTTATGTCACCCACATCAGGTCGTGTTCCCAGACACCTAACACTGTGAGCAGTGCAGTGTCCCTGCTGTTGTCTCTGCACTGCTCACAGTGTTAGGTATGGTTATGGGATAAATATTATGTGGGTTATGGGATAAATCTGGGCACAGCCAGCAGCTACAGAGGGGCTGTTGCATGGAGCCTGTCAAACACAGGAACGCACACACACATACTGATTGCACATGCAACCCACCCGCAGTGGCCCAGTATCCCACCAAGGGTGACCCATCCCCTCCCTGCAGGGAGAAGGATGCCCTGTGGCAGAAGACAGAGGGCATTGACCCACAGGCACCCAGCCCGGCGCCCCGTGATGTGGGGCTGTGCGCCCGTTGTGGCAAGGATTTTCGCCTCCTGTCCCGGCGGTACAGCTGCAGGTGGGCACGGGAGGACACGGGGGAACATAGCAGGAACAACAACCACCACCACACACCTACCGTCTGCTCTCTCAGCAGGCTGTGCCAGGGCAAGGTGTGCCACACATGCTCCGTGGACATGGGGAAGCAGGGGCGATGTTGCCTGCTCTGCTACCAGCAAAGGCACCCACAGGCTACGTGAGCTGGGAGGACATCCAACCTGCTGGGACATGGGGCCGGCGGGTAGGTCCTGCTGCTCTGGTTTTCAGGGTTGAGATGTCTTTTGCATGGCTGGCCCATGGAGAAAGAAACAACCCGGTGCTGATATCCCAGTGGCTCCAGTGTCATCAATCCGTCATTGCTGCTTTGATGCCCTGAGGGGCATTGGGAATGGGCATGCTGCTATGGGGAAGTCTGAGCCCTCCTTGGGTGGACTGTCTGTTTATGGGGTGTCTCTGCCGAGGCAAGACTTCACCCCATCCTGATGCAGGGAGTATGCAAGGGGAGAGGGCTCTTAGCCAACAGCCTTGGTTTCCTGCCAGGCACCGCTTGAGCAAGACCTTTCCCAGACATAAAGGTGATGGGTTGGCCCTGATCTGCTGCTTTGCTGCCCTGCAAGCCCCCTGCTGTCTCTGTCCAACTCAATTCCTCCTCCCTCGGTGCCAGGAACCCTCATATCCTGTTCCCAGCCTCACTCCTATCCCACAATCCCTGATGTCCTTAGGATTAAGGATCCCAGGAAGCTGTGGTATGGATGACAGAGGAGTGGAGTGGGACCCCAATAGAGAAATGCTGGGGAACGCTGGGGCAGACACCATGATGTCAGATCACATATGGGATGGCAGGAGGGACCCAACCTGGGCCACAAGCCCCTCTTTGCTCTGGTACCAGCCCCAGTTGCCTAAGCCAGTGCGGAAAAGCTCCCTCCGCCCCATCCCAGTTGTGTAAGGGGCAGTTCCTGACTCTTTGCACAATGCAGTGCTGTGGACAGGGGGTGTCCCAGGTGCTACCACCTTCATGGATTGCAGGGGAGAGACAGGGCTGGCTCAGTGTCACCAAGGACAGGGAACAGTCACTAACGGATTTTGCAGGGATTTGCTTTATTTGAGTTCAAATGGAACTGGGAAGGGGGTGGTGAGAGTTTGACCTCAGCCATGTTTCCAGGTGCGCAGAGGTGACACAGAGACCCCATACTAGGGAAGGACTCAGTGGTGGCACAGAGTGACGCCAGGTTGTGGTCCCCTTGAGGGATGTGCAGGATGCAAACCCTCTGCAACAGCCTCTTGGGTAACAGCACTTTCCCGCACTCACTGTCACCAGGAAATGCCGTGGCTGAGCAGTGCCCCGGGGACGTGCCCCAACCCCTCCTATCACCCCCCAGTCAACAGGAGCCATACAAGCGTGGAAAAACTCGCCACCTCCTTTATTGCTGGGCAGCTATCATTGCCACACCGGGGCCATGATGTCCTCAAAGTCATAAGCTTTATCCCAAAGCGCAGGGAGAGTATGCAGTGGTCAGCATCTTTCCATTGAGACCCCCATGCTGACGTGCGCAGTGTGACCGTGTGCAGCCCACAGTGACACCCATCTGTGTGCCAGGGAGCCATACCCACTGCCCAAGGCTGTGTCTGGGGTTAGGATGCTGGGGTGTATGGGGTGCCAGGACTTCATGCACCGGGTCTTGGGGAGCAGTGGAGCTCAGAGAGTGGTGGAGGTGTTGCCAGAGGTGGAAGTGTAGGAGGTGCGGCCGTAGCGTGCCACAGCATCCTTGCTGATGAAGCCGCGCTGTGCCAGGATCTTGAGGAAGCTGTTGCGAAACTTCTGCCCAATGAAGGCATAGATGATGGGGTTAATGCAACTGTGGGCAAAACCAAGGACCTGCGTGATGGAGAGAGCTGTGTCGATGTGTTTCCTCCTCCCACAGGTCTCGCTGATGGCATGCGTCCTCATGAGAGTATCGCTCACCAGTGTGATGTTGTAGGGCAGCCAGCAGACAAGGAAGACCAGCACCACAGCTAGGATGACCTTCATGGCACGCTGCTTCTGGACGTTCTTGGTCTGCAGGAGGGTGTGCACGGTGACACCATAGCAGAAGAGCATGACCAAGAGGGGCAGGGCGAAGCCGAAGGTCTGCGGCAGCACCCGCAGCACCACCCTCCACTTGGTGGTATTCTCATTGCCAATGCGCTCGTAGCAAACCGTGCCATTGCGGTCTGAGACAAACGCCTCACGGAACAGCAGCACGGGCAGGGAGAGCAGCACCGAAAACACCCAGATTCCCACACAGACAAACTTCACCCAGTGCCTCTTCTCGGTGACAGCACGGGTGGCGTAGACGATGGCCAAGTAGCGATCCACGCTGATGCAAGCCAGCAGCAGGATGCCACTGTAGAAGTTGGATTCCTGCAGCACCGAGATGGCTTTGCACATGACGGTGCCAAAAACCCATTCATGGGCCCAGTAGACGGCCCAGAGTGGCAGGGTGAGCGCAAAGAGCAGGTCGGCCACAGCCAGGTTGAGCAGGTAGATGTCGGTAACGGAGCGGTTCATGTGGCTAGAGGTGACCACCAGCACCACCAGCCCATTGCCCACCATGCTGAGGAGGAAGACCAAGCAGTAGATGAAGGCTACCAAGTATTTGTTGGCTACGGAGCCTTCATTACGGCATGGAGAAGAGGAGCTATCGATGTCCGGCACAGCCAGGCTGTAGTTGCCATAATCAGAAGTATAGTTGTATAAGATGCTGAAGAGTTCGTCAGCATCAAACGTCCCCATTTTGCCTGCAAAGCACAAAGCAGTGTGGGCTCAGGGCACCTCCAGCACTTCCAGTTCCCATTGCTCTCCCACACCCCATAACCTCACTGCACCACACAATGAACCATGCCTGGACACCATCCCCACACGTCCCCCTGCCCAATAGCCCCATATGCACCGCTTCACCTCAGCACTGCCCTTCTCCTGTCCCCTCCAGGTCTATCCCCAGTGAAGAAGCGCTCCTGAGTCCCCCTGGTTGGTGTGAGTCCTTTGAATCCCAATGTTCTCCCTAAAAACAGTTCCCATGCCAGCTCCCTGAACGCACCACAGTGCCCGGAGCAGAGGAAAAACACTTCTCTCCACTGTATTTTTGGCTTTTTCTGATTCCCCACCCAAATTCCCTGCAGTTCCTCTGGGGCCAGATTTCTGCCCACAGAAGGGGAAGTCCCCATTTCCTCTCCCAATCCCACACAGAGAACTATTTGGGGATACCAGGTCCCCCCAGGGTTGGGGTTACCTTATGTGGAGTTGGGTTTACTCTATGCGGAGCCCTCTTGCCCAGGTTAGCAGGGTGCCCCATCGCACCCCAAAGCTAAGCATCCCAGGCACTCACCCACCAGTCGCTGCCTCTGCTGCACCCCAAATCTTCTCCCCTTCCCAGCTCCCAGATTTGGCTGCTCCGAGGCCTGGCTGAGCGCTGCCACGGGATGTCCCCCGCCGTCACCCCAAAACGGAGCCCCTGGGAGCGTGGAGACGTGGGCCCACTGCTGCCACCGGGTCCCACACCTCTGCCAAGTGACCCTGAAACAGAGCTGACACTGCTGCTTTATGCAGCGCAGGGAGGAAGCAAGGTTGCAAAACCTTCTGCAGTGCAAAGAGGAAGCAGCGGTTTGGGGGGGCACCTTCCCAGCACCCCCAGCCCAGGGCACGCCGCACCTGGGATGCGTGGGGTGCTGTCTGTTTGTGGGACTCTGATAGCTGCAGGGCTTCACTCCATCCCTGTGGGTGCTCCTGTACTCCGGGGACACTCCCGTATTATTCTGGGGCACTCTCACATCATCGGTGACACCACAGCTGCAGGGAGCCGGCTGGGTGCCGCTTTTGGGGCTCCGTATCCCTGTGGCATCATCCCACATATAGGCACTCCCCATTCCAGGGCACCCCTTCCTGCTCCCTGTCTCCCCCTACATTTTTGGGGCCCCCGCAGCACCCCACCCCCTGTGGGCACCCCCAGGCTGCGAGGGCCCCCAGTCCCTGAGCACCCCTCAGCTTTCGCCTCCATTTGGCTCATCCTAATCCCATCTCCCCGCGCACACCACGACCGGCACCCCGCACTTCCTCTCCCCGCCCACCCAGCACGGCCACGCCCCCCGGGAGGTAGGCGGGGGCAACGAGTGACGTCACGGGGGGGGAACAAGACCGGCGGCCTTCGCGCATGCGCCATCACCGCCGCCACCGCCCGGCTCCGCGGCAGCCGGGCCGGAAGTGACGCGCGGGCGCGAGAGCGGAAGCGGCGGCGCAAGCTCGGGCGGGTCCCCGGTGCGCGCAGCGGGCTCGGCTCCCTCCGGCCTCGGCGCGCTGAGAGCCGTTCCCCATCCCCGGCACCGACATGATCCTGCTCGAGGTGAACAACCGCATCATCGAGGAGACCCTCACGCTGAAGTTCGAGGGCGCGGCCGCCGGGTAGGGCCGGGCGCCGGGCCGGTGAATGGGGCCGGGGCGGGGCGGAGCGGAGGAGGAAGCCTTCCGGCCTTGCGAGGCCTGAGGGAGGGGAGCGGGCCAGGGAGCGCGGGGCCGAGGGAGAGGCCTGGGCGGACGGGGTGGCACCGAGGCTCGGCCCTGGGTGTGAGGCATGGCAGGGCTAGGCGGGGAGGAGGGCAGCGTGGGATAGGGTGGTGCCGGGGGCAGTGACGGGGCAGGATGGGGCCGGGAGGGGAGGAAAGGAGCTTGCGGCACGGGGTGGAGGGGGGCTGAGCTGGTGGGGCTGAGTAAGGCTAGGGCGGATGAATGGAAGGCTGCATGAGGCAGGGCTTGATGGGGTGCTGAGGGCTGGAACTGCATGAGGGTGATGGAGCTTGTGGTGCTGAGGCAGGCTGGGGTGGACCATTGGGCTGGAAGGTGTTGGCAGCCTTCATCAGAGCAGGTCCAGAGCGGTGTCACGGCTCACGTAGAATGGAGGAACGGGGAGGTGACTTGTGGCACAGCAGCAGCTTCAACCTGTTTCTTTGGGGGTGGGTAGCAGATTCCTGTTAGCATCTTCCGCTGTCCTGACCTGGGACTCATGTGTCCTGGCTAGTGGCACAGGGCTGGTGAGCCTCTTGGCCTTGGGGAGGCTGTAGGGCAGCTGACCTGCACCTGCATCTTCAGCTGGGAAAGTGCAGTCCCTGGGGAGACCCTGAGCATTACTGACAGCGATGCACTGGGGCCATGAAGACACTTGTCTGAGCACAGTCCAGCTTGGGGGAGTCACCTCGTGTGAATGCCTTTATCTGCAACCATGCACTTGCTGCATCTGAGTAGTGCTGTGCACCTTTGTGTGTGGACAAAGTCTAGAGAAGCAAAGCACAGCGCTATTATCTATGGGGTGGAGCCTGTCCCTGGCTCTGCAAGCAGCACAGCCTAAGCTGCTCTGGGAAGGGACTCCCCTGCGAGGCCTTTTTGTGTGTCACCTTTTCCACAAGTGGCTTTTGAAGTGTTCTGCCTTTTGTGTGCAGACCTTAGAGAGAGGCCGTTTCCTCCATTTTCTCCTTTTGGTTGACTTCTTGCTCTTTTATTTCATACAATGACCTCCTAGGCTGTGTTGCCCTGTGGGAATGCCAAGCTGCTCTCTTCTCTGCAGTCAGCCTCTTTATTCATCTTGAATGTGATCATTTAGTGCAACAAGTATTCCCGAAGCACTGGCACCACGCTGGGAGGAGAGAGCTCTTGGGTGCTGCAGCTGCATCTATTAGAAGAAACTTAACTATATGGAGGTTAATAGTGTGTGTCAAAAACACTCATTCACCACAAGCTCATATGGAGGCATTCTGCTGGTAGGAGCCTGTGTGCGTGTCCTTGCATCAGTACAAGTGCAGCAGCAGCAGTGAATGGAGGCACTGCAGCCACCAAGAGATTGAATGCACCTCAAAGCCCTGACTCAGTGCAGCTAGAGCTGAGGTTGCTCGCTCACCTCCAGTTCGTGGAGTTTCCATTTTGCTGTACAGCAAAGCTTGTAACTATCTCAGCGTGCTTGCCTGGCATACCAATCCTTCCTGGATCAATTCCTCTTACTGTGAGCACGGCCAATGACATTCTGCTTCTGCCTCTTGTTCTACAGGCTGTCCTTTCTTTTGTTTGGATAGAGGACCAGCTAGGTGCTCTTTCTGGATAAGTGTTGTGCCCTCAGTATGTTGTTGGAGAGGAGGAAGTAGTTCACTTCTGCATTTTCTTTTGTACTTGGGCTGTCCAGGCAAGAACCAGACATAGATGAAGATCAGAGATGAAAACAAGAAAAATGGAAATCCACTTCTCTGAACAAGTCCATTGGGTAGAGGTGCTATGTTATGCCATGTTTATTCATGAGAAATTTCTTTTCCATCCAGTTAGGGTTCCAGGGTTATCCTGTGGCACTGAGCCTGGAGGCAGGAGGGGATTTGCAGTATTTCACTGTTTGGGTGACTGTCCACCCAATTCAGTGATTGAGAGGAGCAAGTCTGGACACTGAGAGCTGGCCATGAGTTACTTGCTCTGAAACTTGTATTGGGCAGATGTGATACACAATTTATCCAGACTTGCTCCATGATGTGAGCAGCAGCACTTCCCTCTCCTTCTGTGACTGTGCCATGGATCCAGCAGCTCCCTGCAGAGCTTCCCCAGGCCTTCAGCTGGGAGTTGCTTCACATTTCCCCATAGTGTGTAGAGCTGGGTTACTCTTAGAAGTCACAGTCAATTCCAAAAGTAGTATTTGTGTGCAAAGCCCATGGAAATCTCATCTTCTTGGACAGCCACCACTAGGCATCAAGGGAGTTTGCATCAAGGTGACTACGTGTAGTGGACTTCTTAAGACTGTAATTTCGTGTTTTAAATCAACTTCCTTAAGCCAAACACATTTTTAAATGATATCCAAAAGCTACCAGAACCTGCTGAAATATGTCTAGTGAAGAATTTACTGCTGAAAGCTTAGACTGTCAAAGTGCTGAAGTGGGGGAATATCTGGTCAGAATCCGAGAGCAGATGTGTCAGAGTCAGGCAGCTCATTACTTGAGTTGGGCTTCTGCAGGTGTCAAAAGAATAAGCTCTTCCGTAAGTTTTTGACTAATTCTCTTTGACTTGACTAATTGCCTGGAAGCTGGAAGAAACAGACCTGAGCTGGAAGCTCAGGTGTTGGGAGGTGAGCTCTGCCAGCTGGAAGATTTTGTTTCTCTTTTGTCTCCTTTTGCTAACTGCACAGATAGAAAAATAATGTAAAATATTTCTGTCTCCTGTGTTCAGTTCTTTCTAAAACACAGCGGAGAACTGCCTTCCAAAACAGATTTGCCCTCCAGTTTTGGTCTGCTCTAATGTAACTGATCCCAGCAAAAGTGTGGCAGAGGGCTTGTGTTCCTGGGTATGGTTTTTCAGCCATATATAGCTTGCCCTAAACTGCCAGCAAATTAATCATCTGTATCAAATTGTTACTTTCTATTTACCTGATGTGCAAAGGAAAAATTTGTGTAAGTGGAGAACAGTGTGACTTTTCCCTTGGTTGGAGGTGGAGGGAAAAATATCTCATTAAATTTTAGGATTCTGTAAAGCTTTCAATAGATACAAATTTGCAGGGTTTCATGAGTGCTGCCTGAATGGGAAAACAGCTGAAGCTTCAACTTCTCTGCTGTAAACCAGTTCCTGTAGACTGGTTGGAGAGTTTGGCTGAAACTGCACCCACATGCTCTGTGGTATTTCCCATCTGTGGTCACTTTGGTGCTCGCCTGCTGTGGAGCAGAGTGCTATGGCCTTGCTGGGTGAAGGTGGGTGACATGACCTTCGCGCTGGCGATGTGGCCTGTGAGCAAGTTCCTTGTGGGGAAGCTGAGGAGAGCACGGAGGATGGAGGAGCTCGGACAGCCCAGCATCTGCAGAAAGCCCAACCCTCACCCTGAAGCAGGTGAGGAGCGCTCAGGTGATGCTGCTGGCATTGGGTACAAGATCATCAGTACCTCCTGCAGCTCCTACACTTAGTGCAAGAGGCAAGCAACTATCAGCAGAACCTGCAGACTGGCTGCTATGCTGACAGTGGGAGCTGTTGGATGCTGCTCTGTGCTGGATGTCTTGCCATCTTGCCACCGGCAGTCTGCCTGTGGGCAGTCCCCAGCACAACCCCCCGGATCCCAGCGGGTCCCAGCCCTGCTCCCAGCAATGCTGTGGGTGGGCACATGTGGGGACTGCTGTTACCTCACAGCAGAGCGCTTCTCAAGTTTGTAGCAGGCGTGCTGCGGGAGCTCTTTGATTTCATGCACGCTTGCAGCTCACGCAAAGTAGCTTTTGTTAGTCGAGTGGGGCCCAGGGGGGGAGGAACTGCTTGGATAATTTTAGACATTGCTCATAATTTTTTTATTGGGGTGACCTTTCTGTAGCAAGAGCCTGCAGTCTGTCACTGAATCTGGCTCACTCTCTTCTAACAGTGCATCAACTCAGTGATCTGCAGGCTCTGCTCAGATCTGGAAGCTTGAAGCTTTGAAATCCCCCACTCCTTTCATTTTTTTTTCCCCTCCTCTGGAGCAAGATATTAGAGTATCTGCATGCCTGCAGCTTTTAAAATAATTGCCATCTTCCTTTATTGGGTACAGACCTTAATTGCGATGTGGGAGCTGCTTTAGTCATCTATCGATGCGGTTGTTGGCCAAGCTCACATTTGCATGCAGGTCTGTTTAATGCAGAAGATGAGGGCTCTGTGTAATTACACAGCCTTCATTCTTCTGTTCTTAAATTTGTTGTAACATATGGCTGAGAGCCTCTGTGGCCTGAGAACGAGGCAGGGAAGTTTGGAAGTTGTCCGAATCAAAATTGAGGAACTGCTGTCAGGGAAAAAAAAGATTTGCTGTTGCTCTTAAGTGCTTGTTGGCATCTCTCCACGGGTGCTGTGGCTCTTCTTGGATCCGCTGCTGGGGTGAAAAATCTGATTTGGAGCTGGCTTTGTATTTGATGGACTTAGTGCAGGAGCCATTTAAAGATGAATAAGGAGGGTGCAGGCAAGAAGGAATAAAAACCCATCAAGGCCTCTTATTGTTATAAGCAGGGAGCAGATGGGATTTGGTGTGGATTTGACTTCAAACCTGATAAGTGTTATCAGAAAATGGGCAGCCGCCTGTGCTTGGAGCAACTGCCATTTTAGCTGCAGAGTTCAGGCACGGTGTTGCAGAAAGGTCTGGGTTTGGTGTGTAGCAGAGAGAGGAGCCAT